TAAATACGGGAACAAGATTAGGGTTGGCCCTTTAGTCATCCGTGCAGCTGTTATTGACTACAATCCTCATTATCCGTAGCCAGGTTCATTTTTATGAACTATGCTTCCTTTCTGACCCTAAATCTGTCCTTACCCCTATTTTCCCTTACTTACCTTAATGCTGTATCCTGGCCTTATACAACATTTATACCTCGTGTCACGTTTTACAATGTTTTATTATATTGATAAAAGCAAAATCCTACAGTTTCACAGGTACTATTCACTAAACATTGCATTGTGGTGCATTGAGAACTGACTTGCAATATTTAGGCCAAAGTAGCCAAGTATCTCTTTACAAGCTGGAGATTATTTGACATCGGCTGTTGTGCCTTACGTGACATCTTTCAGCAGGATGTAACAACTTGCTATAGCGCTTCACAGAGGGGTCTGGGAGGACAGGGTTTGCCTGGCACACCCCTTGCGCATGCCTATGGCATCTATAGGGATACAATGTAACCAGATCTGCTGCACTTAGATCAGAGACTTGTGGCCTCGCCATATTAGCAGCATGTAGTGTCAAATCCTGGACAGCACCCCTCGCTGCTATCAACCTCCACAGAGCTTTGCAGGGTTAACAGTTTTATATTGAGACAAAGGACCATGCCTTGATGAGTGTGTCTGTCTGCTGGCTGCCTGGGTGGGCTACTGAGGCTATTGTTGTGTTAAAACTGTTTTTCTTCCACCCCCCTTGCTGGATTATTACAAGTTTGCTCAATCACCAGAGTGCTGCATGGTGTATGCTAATGGATTCCACTGCCTTCACCAGCTTGGGTGGTCTGTTTGTAGCCTCAGAAGAGGTAGACTGTAAACACTAGAACCAAACATTTGAATGTAACCCTTCCCATGGAATGACCACACTGGAGCAAGGCCCCTCGGCCTCTTGTTTACACTGCACTACAGGTAGAAGAGTAATTTAGCTAGCCCCCCTTCTTCCCATACATCAAGCGAATCTTAACAAGATAATGAGGATGTAAGCTGTATATAGTCTTAGATCCCCCCACCCACACACACCGACACACATAGCTCTCCAATACCCTTTAAGGAAGAAATTGTTAAAGAAAATAATTTAGCACAGTCTGTTACAGGCTGGGGAACACGTCCTGTTCTGATCCTCTTTCTGGGGTGATTTATTGTAATTATTACGTGTGCACCTGCTTTGTGCGTGTTACAGATATTATCCCGATCAGCCATATATGTCTTTTGACAAGGTGGACATTAAGCTATCTGACTGTTACCCAAATATTGTGCAGCATGATGAAAGAAGGATTAGTACACGGTGTAATAGGATTCCCACCTCCATTCTTCGAACAATGGGACAGGGAAACAAAACTACTGACAAACAATGGCCCTAATAGCGCTGCGGAATAAGCTGGCGCTATATAAATACCAATAATAATACTATATCCTGGGGTATAGGACTATTGCTGGAATTGACTTTTAAACCGATATTCAGCGTTTTAGTCACCAGTCTGTGAGTATACCTGTAACACTGGCTGTTATCGGGGGCAGTCTAGATCAGGGATAATAATTTGTAGTCCTATGCTCCTAGCCTGACCTTAAACGTTACTCACCAATGGAAGCCATAGTATACCCTCCAGGGGTGAATTTCTACAAGTTTGGTTATTTATAATTCTGTAAATTACAATGGCGTTCATACTGAGAGAGATGAGAAGAAAACGGGCAGACTTATTGAAACTGACAGGAAGTAACTGAAATAATCACATTGTTCTAAGCAGAAGACCACCTCGGAACACACAACACATTGGACTTTGAAATGAACTTGATACAGCAGAGGGAGATCCAAGGGCATTAGGACCCCTAATCCACTAGAGTCGTGGAAGATAACTTGGGATAAGGTTCTGTTCATCCACCGGTCCATATTATTTCCTTTATGGCCCTAATTTAGGCCTTGATTTAATATTGTAGGATTAGCTTTCAAAATATTAAAATGCGAAAAAAGAGTCATTTCATGGAATTGGACTCCGTGAAACAGCAGGAAGTGCCTCTCGTGGCTGTTAGGAGATAGCCACTAGAGGCAGTCTTAACTCTGCAAACATTGCGATTTCTCTAAAACATCTTTTATATTGCATCGTTAAAGGGGCAGGAATACTGCACCCAGAACACTACAATGAGATGAAGTGGTCCTTTTAAATCATTAGAAAAGCTTATAAAGCAATATTAAATCTAGGCTATGGTTACCCCCAACTCATTTTCTAAACTCTCTATCTTTTGCCATTTCCCCGATTTCCTACCTCTCACCATTTTTTTACAACGCTAGGACCTCGTTTGACTCATTTTGTCTTTGCTTGTAGCCCCCTGCCATATTTAAAGGGTCTCTTCCTCCCAACACATCTCCCATGTTTTCACATTTGAATCTAGGAGTGTGGAGTATCTGAAATGACAGTAACGTTATAAAATAATCTTTAATGTTTATAGAAAGGGCATTAGATACCTTGTAAACGGAGAGCAAAATATGTGGGATGCCTTTATTTATTTTTTTACAAATAATATGAAATCAGAGAAGCAGAACATCTTCAATTTAACTAGATTGAATGAAAGATGGTATAATAAAGTACACTCTAAGAATGTGCATGGCAGGTTTCGAACACTAGGTGGTGCTGTGCACTGAGAGATGCTAGTTGGACCTCCCAGTTTGTAGAACAGATAACCAAATGATTTAATTAAATCGATACATGTGCACTCAGCGGCCGCTATGTTAGTACATACATCTAGTAACAGGCAGCATGCCCTTCCAACTCCAAAACAAGGTATTAACAAATTCCTTAAGCTCTGTGGTTCACGCCCCACAGATATATATATATATATTTATTTTTTTTATTTTTTTTAATGCTGATAATGTTGTGAATCTCCTGGTCCTATGAAGGGATGAATTTTTTTAAATCGTGTTCACAAAATATTATATCTTTCCCATGATGTAAGCATGTTGGGTGCACGATAGTTTGATTGATGGAACAGAAAATCGGTTATAACCTGCGAGTGTGCAGGATTTTGTGTGTTATATAAATTGGCCGCAGCAGCACCCTATAATGTATGTATGTTCAGGTGGGTGCAGCCTCTTTTCACAGAAAATCAGTTAAACACGTCGCTATGGTGATTGCTTGCTGGACTTTGCTGCTACGCAGCCCGGATGGTAATTTATTTTGCAAGTTGCATTGCTATGCAGTGCCGGTAACATTTTGCGTACAATATTTGCGCATGTTCCAATAATTGGTGCACACAATGTACTCGTATCATGGAAAATATTTAATAGAGTGTTTGCACAATTTAAAAAATAAATAAATCCTGCTTCCCTCCTTGGAGGCTCAGTAAGCCCCATCAGAGACCTGCTCTATTGGATGGAGATCTAGGGGTATAGAGCCCGTTGGAATTAGTTTGGTGCAATAAGTGATGCATTGACCTGCTGGAAGGATCGATGTTAAAACTGGTGGACTTTGGCCATAAAGGGCCGTACATGGACAGCAGCAATGCACAGATACACTGCCACATTCAAAGGTAACAAGAGTCTTAATTTCTTCACACTTTTACACCTGGCACAAAGTATGCCGTATCTGTGGTGTTATATGGTTTGTGTCATTTTTGACGCTAGTGTCTGCATCTCACAGCTGAAAGATCCATATGTCCAACCAGGTGACATCTTCAGTCGTCCAGATTTGGTGGTTATGTGCCCACTGTAAAGTCGGCCTCCTGCTCTGAGCTCGCAGCCATCGTACCTAGTCTGGTCCGCTGCTGCCCACACTCAGTGCCAGAGGAGAGATGCCCCTTCACCAAACCTGTGTTGCCAGGAGTGACTGAGTAATTAATTTATACCCTTCGTCATACTGCCTTCATCATAACTACGATATATAGACTGAGGAAATAACTGGGCTCTATGCGGGGTCACTAACACCAATAAAGGTTCCTGAACCCATTAATGATTTATTTCTGTTTTTTTTTTTAGGGAGGGAAGGAACCTCGGAATGGGGTCGGAGATATTAAAATCTCGGTCAGTGACCAGAAACACATGGGGAGGGATAATCGGATGCCCCCATTCTCTGCCTCAATCTAAGAATGATCTACGACTATCACATATTGTAATTTATATTTTTTCTCCTCTTAATGTTCTAATTTATACAAACTGAACTTCGATTGAAGTATTAAGTGTTTCTTCTACGAAGCGTGGTGGGAGTCATATTCCAGTTGTACCATTCTCACTTTTATAGGATTTCTCTCTCCAGTCGTACGCGCTTTTGATTTGTGGTGAGGATGTATGGCCATCCGATCGCTGACACTACGCAACAGCTGACATAACCAGCCAGCAGACAGCAGCCCTGATTTACTGAGAGCTGAAAGCCTGCCGGGAAAAAGCCAATGTTATTCTATGAATCCTAATCTGATAGCTGGTGACAACTTGCATTTTATTACCCTCCACTTTTAGAGATTTTCCTGCAGCGTATTAGTAACATATATTCATAAAGATGAAGCGATTTATTAAATATGAATTGTGCAGAATTGTCAAGGGATCTGCAAGTTTTGGGCTGAAACGTTTAAATAACAGAGTTGTGGAATTTTCCAAGTTGTCTACTTCTACTTATAATGGGCAATTTCATCATTAATTCTGGAAGAATTCATGGTTAAGCTAATAAACTCCAAAGTGATTTATCCACGCACATTATAATCCGTCCATATGAAATCCATCTAGCACTCAGGATAGCTTTTGAGGGACACAGAAAGTGTGGCTTTTTGGCACTTACAACCTCTTTGTGAAATAGAACATTTAGGAGGTATATATATAAAGGGCTAGTCTAAGCACCATAGCCACTTCAGCATGCTGTCACCACCGCCCCACGGTTAGAAGTTGAACTGTTTTTGAAAGGTTCGATATTTACCTGGATCCCCTGTGCACCTGTTCCACTTTAACGATGATCAATTTTGTCCCTGTTAATTAATGGGCTGAGATTGTAGTTTACAGTGATTATGGTGGACATTTTAAGCCATTGTTCCTGTGACAGCCAGTAGGCTTGGCGGATAAACATGAGTGAGCGCTACCTTCTCAGTCTCATGTCCTCCTTTGAGGTCAGCTCTCAGTATAAAGTTTGTTCCTTTTTCGGAGGGGGAGCATGAAAGGCCTGTCTCTGTAATGGTTTCTAAGTACAACTGATCCTAGTCCTGTAATAATATTATTAAAGTATCCAAGAGTCTAATTAAAGTAAAAATGGACAGAGCAAACATTTCTGGGAAATTTGAACAAGCTGTTGGGATGGCGATGGTGACCAGAGACTTGTCTACAATTAATCTCAATAAACGTTATCAAAGGATGACGCAGCAGCTGCGTCCGTGCTCACCCAATCACCCCTCGCCCGACAGTCCCAGCGGAGTCTGTTTATGATACTTTATCATGTTTCTGGTAATTAAATCAGGCCCTGCCTAGAAAATAAACATTGCAATGTGGTGAACAACAGTCTCGGATTTATTAAGCAGAAATGCGTTCACACAACCCCCTCGCAGTAACTAGATTAATCTACTGGAAAATATAGATACATTGATTATTTATGGGAACACTATATATAGTGTCTCCAAACCATCACAATTTCGGCGGGACAGTCCTGATTTTCAGGTCATTTACTGACTTTGTGCCCTGGTTTACTTTTGGGGATCTCAGGGAACTGTTCCTAAAAGGCGTAGCGCGAGTGCATCATTAGACACGCTTGCGTAATGTTTGGGGCTCGAGGGGTCCTGCAAACAGCGCCCCCTGCATGTCACGCCCTCAGTTAGCTGGCCTGCTTGTTTAATGTGCATTCATCTAAAGTCCCCTTATTTCACTTTTTACACCCAGCAATTCTTTAGAGCCATGTAAAGCAGGGGCATGGTATCGATGACTTGGATGAGAGATTTCCTATAGCATATAGACCTGTATGCTAACATAGACCGAGCGGCCTGTGCTGTACCACCTGTCTTGTACATATCACACTGTCCCACCTGGAAACATTTCTGAGGATGTCCTAAGGGGGCTGTAACGTTTGCAATGACTCTATGGTTTATTAGTGCTTGCAGTGCCTCTAACATATTCTTTAACTGCTGTTACTCCGCTGGTAATTGATAGTTCCAACATTTGCCTCTAACTGACAGTTACAATTATTTATATAGCCCCAAAATAATCCACAATGCTGAACAAGTTAAAGTTAAGTAGTTAAAGGGACATTATAGGTACCCAGACCAGTTTATGTCATTGCAGTGGTCTGGGTGCATTGTCCCTGTCTCATTGACCCTGCAATGTAAAACATGTTTTGGATAAACTGTAGTGTTTAGTGCCAACCTCTAGTGGATGTCTCTCAGATAGACACTAGAGGCACTTCCTGGATTCTAACAGAGTTTAACTCTATAAAAAACGACGTTGGACGTCCTCACACCTTTCATGAGGATGACCAACGTCTTCAATATCCCCCCAAAACCACACTGATTATATGATTTCCTATGGGGAAGGTCTAAGGTGTGCACAGCACTCACCATGCATTCTCATTAATTTTCCCCATCATGGGAGCATGACCTTGCTGGAGGAGGAGGACGAGGTAAGTATAAAAAAGGGTTTTATTCCTTTATTCACAGGAAGGGGGAGGGGGACCTATAGTGATAAAGTTTTGTATTCCTAAAGCTATAGTGTTCCTTTAAGCAAGACTGATTTTCCTCTCTAGTCGGTGCTCTCACACCTCACCCCTCTGTCAGTCCTTACATTGGCTTCCTGTATCCTATAGGAGTCAATTCAAAGCACTAATCCATACCTATAAAGCACTCGATTCTAGACCCTCTTATTTCTCTTTACAGATCCATAGGTATGTCCCTCCTTGTTCCCTCCACTCTGCCCGTGACCACCTCCTGACCCCTGCTCACACCCGTACGGCCAACTCACGTTTGCAGGACTTCTCGCAGGCGGATTCCTTCCTATAGAATAGCCTAACTAACACCATCAGACTCTCCCCTAGTCTTCAATCATTTAAGAAGTGCCTTAAAACCAATCTCTTTAGGAAAGCTCCAAAGGGTAGCACTCTACTCTCTCCTCCTGCTCTGCTTCACTCCCACCTTATTTGATTGCTATTTCCTGTCCTGTTGGGTTTTACGTCCCACCTCCTATAGACGGTAAGCTCGTTTGAGCAGGGTTCTCTTTAACCTATCATTCCTGTAAGTTTTTGTAATTGTCTCATTTATTGTTGAATTTCCCCCTCTGATAATATTGTAAAGAGCTACGGAATATGCTGGCGCTATATAAATACCAGTAATAATTATAATAAAGACAAACAATTCTAACAAAACACGTTTGACATACCCGGACATTCGGTAAAGAGGGCTTGCTCTAATGCGCTTACAATCTAAAATATTTTGGTAGCTCCACTTTGCTGCAATCAGGAAAAGGGATGCTGGACAATATCACAGCCGGGGTAGACTTTGTCTGATAGCCAGAAGACACTGTTTTTTATCAGATAGTCTAACACACTCATCTTCCCTAATGAATACTTTACGACCTTTGACCTATTGTACATTTAATCATTGCATAACTTTCCTATTAGATTGTGAGTTCTTCAATATTTAAACGTGTTATTAATTTGTAATTCGATTTTTACTTGTCTGTGATTGAGCCATATTTCATTTGAATTTCTTAAATGTAAACGTGTTATGTAACCAAATACCAGCAGATTGCCTTGTTTTATATATTCAATCATAACGCACTGTGAATGTGTTTCTGAATTATTTCAGGTCAAATATCTTTTAAATGAAATAAAGAAACGTGGATTTTACAGCTGACTATAGCAGCCAGCGCACCTAGTCTGCCCACTCTGGCCCCTATTTACAGCGCTACAGAACATGTTGGCACTATAAACATAGTAATAAAGATATTCAAAGCATAAACTTAATTGTTGGTTTAGTTTCTTTCTCAAAACCGCACTATGCCTGCCCAAGTCTTCTTGAACTCTTCTGATTTGTTAGTCATTACCACCTCTGCTGGTAGGAGATTCCATGAATCCACTGCTCTTTCCCAACTGGCCAATTACATGCCTTACTATTGTTTAAAGGATCACTATAGGGTGACATGTATTCCTGACCCTATAGTGGTAAACCCACCATTTAGGTGACTTGCCCCCTTCCCCCCGACCCCCTTAAAAGTTTAAAATTCACCTTATTTCCAGCGCCATGTGGGTCTGCTGGTGCTGGGTCCGCCCCCTTTGTGACATCATCAAAATGGGGAAAGCATTGGATTGGCTCAAACTGGCACAGGGCCAAATGCAAATTTGGCCAATCAGGACCTCCTCATAGAGATGCATTGAATCAATGCATCTCTATGAGGAAAATTCAGCATCTCCGTGCAGAATAAAATATATCGCAGTGTGTATTACAACTCCCAGAACGCTAGAGCGGCCGTGTAACAACCAAAGGACAAACACAATACATATAAAAAAATACAAGGAGTCATAGGATATATTTATATATAATAATATATTTTACTCTTTAAAAATAAAACTTCCGTTGAATGGCTATTTCCTGTACACACTACAAAAATAAAGCTTTGTTCTTTTTATTATAAATAACTTATATAACACAGTGAGACATTGTACCGCGCTTCAGTCCACAAGACAGACACATACATATACACAAACCCACCGACGCCACAGGGGCCCGCGGCGCAAAAAACTGTACATCCGCAGACCCCTGGCGCCGCAGCAGGCTGGTTAATTATTATATATATTACATGTTAGACAAGCTGCCGTTTCCACACAATAAAGAATATACAAACAAGCTAATAATTATAATAATTATAATATTTTATAAAATAGTCCCTGCTCGGGGACAATTATACGAATGTCCTAATGGGACAGAGAATTGAAAGGGTTAACTTTTTTCACAGCTAATAGAGGAGGTGGGGGACAGGGGAGGACATTAACCCTTTCAGTGCTTGAGTGAGTTGATATGGCAGTGGGTAAATCCTGTGACTGATACTTTGTAGCACTATGAGATTTAGGAGAAGAATTTTAATTGTATACGGGATTCCACCCACACCACGTTGTTTAGCCTGTTCTGGCTTTAATTGAACTCTTTGTAGTCATTTATAACTCTGTAAAGCAGGTTTCTCCCACTTTCGCTCCATCTACCTACAAAAAGTGTCAATTTAAAAGATGTTGATTAACGTTAATCTCGAGCGGTTAATGCAGGATTAATAAGAGCCAGAGTGGAGAGCAAGTCAAGGCATTGCCCATCACGTTAGCCTTCAAAGTGTAACGCTGCAAAACCAACCAATACCAGACACAAATCTAGTGGAATTCACAACCAAAACTGCTTCACATAGCTCTATTAAGGCAGCAGACAGGTTGGTCTGTATCCATAGCAAATGTAAAAAAAAAAAAAAAAAGACCTGTATGCTTTGCATAGATGTGCATTCGTTAGAATGAGTGCATTACAATTTTTATAAGAGATCCATATAAAATATATTATCCAGGCTTGCCGTGCTGATCGCAGACCTGTACAATGTATTTACTAATATGTTCCCCTGATTAAAACCGCAGTGCACCCAGGCTAATGACAATACAGTGTGCTGAAAAGGGAGGGTTTGGCAGGGCAGGAGTACGCCAATTTTTTATTTATTTTTTGGAACGGTGCATTCAGAAACACAATTTCAATAAGTTCCATTCATTGTTCTAGTGATGCATCCCGTCACATACCAGCACTGGGAATAAACCATCATGATTCGCAGTTTTTGAGGGTTTTAAAAAAAATGAAATTTAGAGGACCCTCCTTTCCCTCTTTAATCAATTCAGAGGTACACTATATTTTACCAAAACAATCAGGAGAGAATCACTGTGTGTTCCTTGTTTTAAACCACTCCACTAATGAAAGGGTTAACAGATAGCAGCATAAACTGGTAAGTTAAAGTTGTACATATATAGGATTCCAGAGAGATCAACCCCTCTGCGTACAGTACAAAGTCATGAGCTTATTAAATAACATAAAATTATTTGTCTTTTTTTTTTGTCTGTTTTCTTTGCTTTTTATATTAAAATATTTCATAAAGAAAAGTCTCTAATGCATTCATCTTGTATTATTATTATTATTATTATTAATGTTCATTATTTTGTCTTCTTTCAATGAGTTTTTCGTAAAGTTTTGTCCACGGGGCAGAGCCTTTAACCCTTTCCGTTGAAAAGGACTGTGTAGTTGGCAAAGTCCTAAAAAAAAAAAAAAAGACAAAAACGACATAAGACAAAGATTTGACACAATCACATTGCAGGCTAGATCATTTCCATCCGACTAAATTACCCCTTACCCAGCAGATTATTGTTAATATCAATAAACAAATAATTTAATAAAACATTTTAAAATATCCAACAGCGGACTACATTCTGCAATAAGAGATAAGATTATCCTTGATAATAGAGAAACTCATATTCAGTTATACATAATGTTCTTTATTACAGCACACTTTAAATTAAACTCTGATTAAACACTGATTTTTGTTTGCCAAATGTATTCTGATAAAATGGCTATTTTGGGCTATATTTTCTAAGATCGTGTAGACGCCTCACAAGTCACTGTGTAGTAAACAAAGCTTTTTGCGTATCTTTAGAATGTAAGCTCTTTTGAGCAGGGCCCTCTGCACCCTCTGTTCCTGTGCGTCCAACTCTACCTATTGTACTGCACTGCACACATTGTTGACACTTTATAATAATAAACGTGCTGTACAATAATTTGCTTATTGAATGGCTTATACAAATGTCAGTTAATTGAAAACTGAATTGCAAAATGTAGGCTATAATACTTGATTTGGAAAATTCTCCAGACCCATAAAATAGGGAGAACTTGGGTTACAGCCTAAATGTTCCAATTCAACGTTCAGTTCACCTGCATTCTAATTCTATGTTTACATGATGTACAGCGCTACGGAATCTGATGGCGCTATATAAATAATAAAATAATAATGATAATTCTATTCTCCTCAGGGCTTGTAAATAGAGAGATACAGAGTTATTCCATTCAACTGATTGACTTGTCACTTGGACAGTTAAGGTACATGGCAGATGTCTGATGAAAACTTTCCTCTGGCAGACGATGTAATAAACCATACGAAATCGCTGGACCCAGATCAAGTAAAAGTGACAGTGCCCAGAATGTAATTTAAAATTAGTCTCGATTTGCTGTGCTCCCTGCATTGACGAGGCCCAGTGCGGCAGTACCACACAGAGCCTCTAGGTGGCACTGCCAGGCGTGCTCGGGATAAGATAATCACCCTTAAACTATAGTGCAATACGTTAATTGAATAAGACTGATTTTAAACCAGGGTATTCCTGAGTGTGTATTATTCATATAGCGCCAGCAAATTCCATAGCGTTGTACAACGTGTTGAAAGGAGTACCCACCTAGTGTCGGACTGAGGACCCCTCCTGTGTCCTGACGTTTTCTAGATCTTCCAACTCAAACACTTCTGGGTATTTTTTTGTTTTCCTCGCCCACTCGGGTCTGATTTCCATACAGTCTGTTTCACTGTCCTCATAACCCTCGTGGGTGTAACCCCTGACCGCTCCAGGCAAACCTGGATGCACCGCCACTGTTACAGAGGCCGTAGCGGTCACGGTAGTTATAGATCCGTTAGGCCCCGGCATCTTAGCACAGTAGGCCGGAGGTGCAGTCCTTTGGCCTGGAGTCCTATTGCTGTGCTGAGTCCTGATGCCAGGGGGCAGGTTAGTCCTTGTTTGGCCCTGTGTGTTAGAAAAGGGCAATTGCCTCCTCCTCCAGTCTCTCAGTTCCTGAAATTCTTTCTGGTCTTTGCAAATAGTCCGGGGTGCATCTGTAGCCGAAAGAGCTTCATTCTTACAAAAGTCCTGGGGATCATTCTTTACTGGTTCGTCCTGGTTCCCCTTGCAGGGCTTTACCAACTGGTAAAGAGAAAGGAAAGATAATTTCATTATCACTGCATGATCTTTGCAAAATTCAGATTGCAATGCTACGAAGATAGGTTAGCTATCATATAGCCCCAATAATAACAGAGTGCTCTTACCATGATCTTCGGATAGGAAGGGTCCCTGCTGGCTTCCAGTATGATATGTGAGGGTTTTCGGGGAATGATGTACGAACTTCTCTCATACAGCTGTGGATCGTCTTCCTCCATCCCTGATGTGGTGGTGGTCTCTGAATAATACTCCGTGGAATCCTCGGGATCATTGAAACCCCCAAACTTCCCGGGTTTGTGCTGAGCGTAGAATCCATGATGGTTTAGAGGGGGAGCTATTGGCTCAGGGCTGGGGGTTGGTAAGTGGCTGCCGTTGTCTGTTGGGGTGACCTAGAAGCAATAAAAGAAGTATATATAAAAAACTGATCATCAATCGGGAAAACTTAAGAGAATTAAGGTACACATAGGAAATAGATGTTTTTCCAAACATGTAACTTCGTTAAACATGTGAATTTATTGTTCCTTTTCATTTCATTCACTAAACCCTGAACAGAAAACCAAATTTCAAAATTAAAATAGCCAAGATGTGGCAGTAGCTGGGTGGGAGTGTATATATATATTTTCTACTTTTCAACTATTTTGAGCAATTTGATTTTTTTAGTGAATAGTGAATGTTTAGTAAATAATACCCTTCATAAATGGGTGAGGATTGCGAGACTCACCTCGGCAGGGGGTCCAATCAGAGACAGTAGCACAGGGAGAAGGACCAAACCATTGAGCAATCCCAGGATGGTGAGAATTGTCAGCACCGCAAAAAAATACCTGGAAGTAAAGAATGAATTTGTCACTTAAATTGCAGAACACAGGTCCTCCATGGACTACCGCGTAAACAACCAAGGCTGGCTAAGCATTGTGGGGCATATTGTTCATACATTTCCAGAATGTCAGATGTAGCCATTACTAGAATAGGTAAAAAAGGGATTTGCAATTGCAATTCTTGGTGGGATTGGCTTGCATATTGAATACGTCAACAGGCTGCAAAATACAAATAATTCTCACTTCACAGGCACCCAAAAAAACTACTGTGCAAGAAATTCTGCCAACGTTTAGGGCATTCTGTAATGTTGCGTCTGGCATGATAGTCTGCCGCCGCTGACCGTCATTAGACGGCGTTCCGGCCAAGAATATCTACCAGGTGTGCGTTAGTGGAAATGTAATGTTTACTCGAATCCCTTGGCAGAAAGCGCACGTTAACATTTCAAGGATGCAAAAGGAGACGTGAAGCGTTTTATTGATGGACCGACTGCGAGAAGGCATTTTTTTCGCCTGTGAAAACCCACTTTACTGCTGGACGGATTTTATATTTGTAAATGTTTTTATTCCGTATCTCCTATTAATGTGCAGACCATTCACGTTTCACGCAAACATGCTCATTAAAAAGGACCCACCAGCTGCTGCATGTTTAGTAGATTTGCTGAATTATCCCTCTACCCCGGAGGCACAAGGTGTCTTGTTTATATAAAGGCGGATAGAGGGGGGAAAAAAAGCCGCACCAATCACAGAAAAGGAAAGAAATAAAAAAAAATTTCTATGTATTTATGTGATTTAATTGATTCTACCAAGCTCTACCAAGTTTACTAGTTAGATAATTTAGTGAGGAGCGGGTATTGAAATTCCTTGCTGAGCCCAGATGTCCGTGGCAATGAAAGGGTTAAGAGGGGTTAAGTGATCACTGCCCTTTATACTGTGTTTTTAGGCTTGAAAGGTTGAAAGTTGGATTTTAGGACTCTGCCCCCTGGAGACCTTCTGCCTGTCAGTGTTGGTCCCCCCCTGGCTTCCTGCATGCTCCCATCCCCCAGCCTTTCCTTATCCATTAGAACCTGCATTGTAACCCTTTGAAGGGGGGAAGGGGAGATTTAGGAGACTGTGCAAGGAGAGAGAACAAGCCCTTGGCCAGCGATGACGGACATGTGTAAAACTGGGTCCCTTTTACCAGCTCACCTCTCTAAATTCGGGTAACGGCTGTCTGGCCAATTTAACCCTTTAAACCCGTCAAAGCGGCTCGGTGACAATACACTGCCCCGTTGAGTGTCATCTCCACTAAACCAGAGTTATCAGACTGATCTGAACTGATTGGGAGCAGGAGGAAGGGTTAAATGGCCCCAGAGCCAAACTGTGAATCAGTATCAAGCTTAGAAGTGGGATGTGATATTTATGTTGGGTCTTGTAATCTCTCCCATTGAGTGTTTAGTTTAGGAGGGGCGCATGCTGAGGCCTGGGGCAGGCGGGAGGGAGCCTGGTGTCAGATCTCTGAACCAGTTCAGCTGTTTATCCCAAACTCTGCACAGAATGTCTGTTTACATGAGGGATAGTTCTGCTATTTCCTGATCAGCCCAGGCTCCTTCCTCCCTCCTCTAAACAAGACCTCCCAGGCTGAAAGGAATGGTTTGGACAGGATTCAGCACACAGGCCATAATCCTTCGCCAGCTCAGCTCTGAACCCCAGAAATCACTCAAACTACGTCAAACGGCTGAGGTTATTTCCAAATATTTGCTTTAACCACTTCATTGCCTGGGGACGGTCGTTTACTTAAACCATTAAAAGACCTACAAAAGCCGCGGCGAGCAGAGTTCCGTCTGCGTGGGGAGATTCTCTAAAAGATTTTCCAGTATCTTTGTGGTAGTATCCACAGAAGAAAAGATACAATGTAGCTCTTCTCCATACATGGGAGAGTTTTATGTGTAAATCGCTAGTGGTGGGTGACATGGAGACCAGCGCCCAGCGCACCCGATATTCGTTACAACCAACACCCACACCCAAATTCCTTGTAACATCTGAACGAAGGGTCGCCTTTAATAATATACAACATATACCGATGTTATGGGTTTTATCCACTAACATGGGAGTCATACAGAGTTTACAAGGGAATTGCAAATTTTACACCAAAATAACTGACGGTGAAAATTTCTCGCTATCAGCTATTATTTCGGGTCAGCTATTTGCAATCCTCTTGTCAATTATTGAACATTTACCAGTTGATTAATTTGAGGTGTTAAATTAGTAAATTAGAAAACAAGTTATAGTAAATTAATATGTGAATTGCAAAATGCAGGCCAAAATGACTGATTTAGAAAAATGTGCCATCTATTTAGTCACTGTTTGGCTATTTGGTGCTCAGTTTTGCAAGTGAGTTATCAGTTCAGTATATTCAGTGTTTGAATGAACGTGTTTGTAAGGCAATAATTGCTGCATGGCATATAGTTTGATTTGCACAAATACCTGTTGTACCGCGCTACGAATTTGTTGGCGCTCTATAAATAATAGTAATAATTGTCAGGACTGCGCTGGAGTTACAATCAGAATAACTAAGCCACAAAAGACAAGGTTTTTACCTTAAAATAAAGTCAAACTCTGATCCTGCCAGCATAAGGACGCCAAGAAGAGTGGAAATGGCTCCATCCAGAACGGGCGCAAACATGTGCTCCAACGCCAAAACTGTACGTTGGTTCCTGTCTCCAATAGAAGTCAAAAAACCCTGGGTAGAGGAAGAGATGTAACAAGAGGTAAGATCGCTGAACATATTCTGCAGAAATGTCTCAAAGATGTACAGATTTCACGTTCTGTAATCAACACACACAACTAGTACTGTGCTACAGCTTGTGTTGGCTGACACATCACATTATAATTGGGATGGATGGGTCAAGAACAGCCATACAGCTATCCCAGAGAGACAAAAGATGGCCCAGACCAACAGACAATATCACATACAACCAAACGCTGCCATGAACGTGTAACTTACCAGGGCTACGTGAACCGTGAACTCAACTCCGATTCCCACCGATGCAATGAGAATAACCACAGGGATAGCGCTAAGCTTGATCCCAATCAGCCCCATTATGCCAAACAGCTCCACGGTCATCATCGCCAAGATAAAGACCTGTAGATATAATTTCATTGTCAGTCAACCTTATTTAAACAAAGTTACAAGCAGAGGGTAGGTCAGGGTGGAGCAGAGTTGGTGTGACCTACTTACAATGATGCCAGCAGTCCAGGGATTCAGTAGCAGGATGGCACACACCAAAAACGTGCATGCCAACACAATGCTAATAGCCAGAAGGAACCAGTGTCTCAGGCCGATATATTGCTCCCAGAAGAGGAAGGGATACCCACTTGGGTAGCTGTAAACGCCTTGTTTGACAAACTCATCGCACACAGAGCGCACACTCTCAATGGCCTCAATGAAGTCAGATGTCTGCCGAAGGCCGTTTAGGTAGAAGGGAAATTGTGCAAACTCAATAGGTTCTGCTTCTGGGACTACGAACAGAGCAAGAAAGAAGGAGATTAGACCTTTACACAAACGAGCATAGAAGATTATTTATAAAACGTATTAAATTATATGGGTAATGTGATATTTATGAGAGACATTTGACCACAGAGTCTTAACATATGGCTATTAATCGTCAGAGAGAGAGAGCTTAGCTACATTGCTAAGTAAATTTCATAAGGTATTTCCAGAAATTAGCAGACACCTGTTTCTAGGATTCCACTCTATTCTAATTTAGGAAATCACTCATTCACACGCGTGATATGTTCCTCTTGAACTTACTTCTCAAATTCTCCCCAGTAGTGTCATATCGGTCGTGCATCCATTCTGGAGGTGTGGGGTAGAAGTTAGCCTGGGACGCTGCATAGCCTAATGGATCGTTACTGACCCAGACGGTCAGATATATATAGAAAGCATCCTCGGGAATAAGGCCGTTTTCATCCACCAGTCGTCGGCTGGTCAACTATCCAAGATGAGAGAAAAAAAACATGCATTATGGAGGTGAAAGTTCACAAGTTAGTCCATTTAATTAATTAATCTATCCATACTCATTATTAGAATGCATATTATTAAGAATCCAGTTGGTTCAGCTGTGTTCTCTGTGGTGGGAATTTATTGAATGGCTAAAGATGACCAACCACAGAATTTCAAAAGGTTTCATGAAAACACAAAATGCAAAGATTTTGTTGGGATTTATACAATATTCTATAGAATTTCCATGTTAATAATAATAATCTAAAAGTAAAACTTTTTATATAACATACTACCAATTCCAAGGAATGCAGCCATGTACAATAAGATTGATGCTGTGGAAGTTGGTTTCTAAATAACTATTGTCGAAATGCATTGGGGACATACCTGATTTAAGTTAAAGGGTTCCTTCTTGTTCCCAGTTTGAAGGAGGAGCTTATAGGCCAGAACACCATCCTCTGATCCATTCCTGTAATTATCTTGAAGGATACGACCTGACTCCCAATCCCGGTCAAAAGCTACCTGCAACCCTGAAGAACACACAGAGATAATCAAGTTAAAAGACAAATTAATTTACAAGAAACTACCAAACAATGTCTGAATCTATTCAGCAATCAATGAACGATAGGTTGACTCTATTAGAGTGCGGATGCTCACCTCTCAGCCAGTCTTGGAAATAGTGTAGCCACATTTTAGGAAGTTCTTTGCCCTCCTCTCGTACCACAAACTTGACAGAGCCAAAGGATTCATGAAGTTCATACAATGATTCCTGAGCTTTGGGATAATCAAATCCACCCTTGGTAACGATGAACATGTTGTAGAAAGAGAAGTATTTGAACTGGGCTGAGATAAAATTGTATTCCTTGGTCTCCCGTGGGACTATGTCCGTCAAGTAAAGCCCATCATGGACCATGGTGGTACCATATAAACCAAGACCTAGAAGTGCCATAAACAGTGCCACCACTATTCCCTGTAAGAAAAAAACAATAAAATAAAATAAAAAACAGTCAGTACATTCAATCATCGTTATTTTCGTCAAGTCCAAGAAAACATAACACAGAAAGTATCATCAAAGCACCAATTACCTTGGTTTCAGGCTTGAGCAACAACGGGGCATACTTCTCACGAGCAAAATCCGAGAGGCTCCATTTTAAGAAGGGGAGAGGAACACATTCTCTGCCTCCTTTGCTTTCATCCAATTGACCCAGCAAATCACGTGTGGAACTTGATGGGTTAAAAACCTGGGATCCAAGTGGGTCCATGGTTGGCACGATGACAGATGGAGAGGTGGAGATCTGGGAAGTGGGTGGCAGGATAGTGACGATGTGGTGTCCTGATGGGTCACACTGGGTAAACGCTTGCACTGTGGTGGTAATCTGGGTGCTGGTGGTAATGGTCGGGTTTCCATACGAAGACGGATGATAGGTGTGATTGTCGTTTGCATCTGCAAATTCCTGTGGTTGAATCTGGATTACTCTGGAAGAGCAGGGGCTTCAAAAAAAATATATAACCTAGTTTAATTTCTGGTTCACTAGAAAAATCCTACAATTACAAAATTGTATCTACAGAAGTGAAATCTATTTGCGTTGTCTGTTGCCAGCAGCCTATCCCTGTTATGGAGATCGTTTTAGAGTATAATTATATTATTTACCTGTGAAAACAACAAAGAATGTCCAGTCTCTGGTCTTCTCTCCGGTGAAGGTCCAAGCTGAGGATGGCGGGGAAGATCAGTAGTACCATTGCAAAGTTGAACACAACCACAATGGCAGCCTGGAAAGGACAACAATAACATCAAAGCATTAATTATTGTGATTATTTTCTCAGTACAGTATTCTTATGCTTTAAACCATTCAAAATACAACTAATTGCAATAAGAACTACTGTAGCAAATGATTGTATGGTGTATTTTAGAGTTTGTTTCTTGACATTGTGAACTGTTCCTCCACATCTCAGTAAGTCCCGTGTGGATAGATCCATCGATGGATGGGTTGACCTCGTCGCGGAAGGCCGGGGCACTATTTATCTACGTTAGATTTACTATTTTTGTGTCTCTCTCATCTAATTAGTTTGCTTGATTTGTGTGAGCTATAGCCATCCGGGCAGGCCTCAGCACAGATGTCTGCTTTTTAGTCTTATCATGGAGACCACCCATGAAGCCTCCTCCCACAGGCCCCTGAGGTGACACCTACATGGATATTACTCTTTGTACTTCAATCACCTTTCACCTGAGCAGATCAGCCCACTACCTTCAGAGACCTCTTCTGTTGCTTTTACCTTTTGCTGCCCTCCAGGTTCACTGAACTAATATTAAACTGGAGGTCAAATATGTACATTTATATACACAAGTTATTTCAACAGCTGCATTAGTCAAATGAAGCACAATAACAGGAGTGAAGTATTGTGTAGATCCTTTGTAATTATTATTTTATTATTTATATAGTGCCAGCAAATTCTGTAGCGCTGTACAATGGGTAATTGAACGAAGAGTAAAGATAAGTAGCTTTAGACCTCATATTTTTAAAATGATTTATTTTCATACTGAATATGCATACGTAACTAGCACAATGTTGCTAAATCCAATAAATATAAATCTTACTTGGAAGTAATTTGACATTTAAATTGCGACCTCACCTGCAGTGAGAATGCCCGCAGGGCAGGGATAGGTACCAAGGCTGCCATGAAGAATGCAAGCATGTTATTGATTGAGGTTAGAGCCACGCTTGTTCCGGTGCGTCTCAAACATTCGCCTGTCCGTTCCTATAGAGACAGCCAAAGGAAGAGTTATTGTCTAGATTCATTAAGCAGTTGTGGCAAAGTTTCAAACAGCAGTGAGGTGGTCCCACGGCTATCGAAATCTTCACGCGAGAAAATGTCTTTAACATGACTTAAACTCTAGTTTACCTTAAACGGGGTACTCAGGCTGGTCTCGGTGAATGCGTGTGCCAGTAGGAACATGTCATCTACCCCAATGCCCAAGGCAAGAAACGGCAGCACCTGCAAGGGGACAGGTAATCAAAGAGTCAGGAATAATCATTAATGACTATTGACACAAATTAGATCAGGATTCAGAACACATTTCACTTCGCCTTAAAGGAAATCAATGTCTACCCATGAGAAACAGCAACTATCCAATCTTTCCACAGAGTTTGCAAAGTTACATATTAAAATCAACATATGCTTAATAACATTTGCTTATTTTCAGAACTCTGGAGGCAGCCATTTTTTGATGCTCGTACCATTTCCTGCTTTGACCACAGTGGCTTCCAGTTGATAAAATGCTCAAGAGAAGGGAGTTACTGCTTTCCAGTACTTCACTTTCATATTGAAACATATATACAAATTATTTCTAAATGTTACAGAAACACTTTTAGATTTAATATTCTGAATATTAATGTCTGAAATATAAAACCCATCGGATTCTTTACTCTTTTTCATACCTGAGTAGTAGCTGCATTGAAGGAGATGCCAAGAAGTGAGCAGAGCCCAAGTCCTGATGCCACAGACAGAGCCACGAGCAGGACACCTGCTAAACCGACAGCTCCTTGAGACTTGGAGCAATCCCAGCGCAACATTGTAACGCAAGCATAGGCCAACTAAAAAAGAAAAGTGAGTGTTAATATTTATATAGCGCTTTAGAATTAGAGAAAGACCGTTCTCAAACGAGCCCTCAATCTATGGCAGGCAGATATGTATCGTTGGATGCCCTTGTCCAACCGCTAGACTTTCTGTGGACAATGTGTTGTGGGTAGATTCGCCCACAGCCCAATCCAGCCCCTAATGTTACGTCATATTGCCTATATATAGACCATTAACAAGGACAGTGAGAAAATGTAGTGTGCGTGTCTCTGGGGTATCCAGTATTGTAATTACTGGGTTATCTAGTTAAATGTTACTTTTCCCATTAGGTTTCCTGACTATTGGTTTTGGAAGGAGAAAACAAAATTATATGGTTTTAAATTCAAGGCTCTAACATACCATTAGCAGGTATCCACCAGCAACGCGGATGGCGCTGACGTCTGAGAAGGATTTCATGATGTCATTAAGGGTTGTGGTGGAAAAAGCATGGATATCTTGTGACGAATTCTGAGGAATGGACTTCTGAGCTTGCTAAACAAAAAAACATCAAAAATTCACATTTCACAATATAAGAACTCTCAGCATATAATGTATGACAAACAGTAACTGGTTGGTAGACGCAAGGATAAATTCTGGGACACTGACAGAATCCTAGGCTCTCCTGCCTGATTCGGAATATAACTCACATAGGACGTCTCTCAGCCAACCACAGAGTAGCAGTCCACAGGACCAGGAGTAGACGGGGTGATTATGTGTCAGAACAGTCCCCCTCCCTCATACACTCATGCTGTCACATCACTCCCCCAGAGATACACAGACACACGCAGACACAGATTTCATGTGTGCTCTCATATGCACACGGAAACTCATTGCACATCCTCTCAGGCACATATACGCTACACAATGCCAGACATGCACACACAGGTACCATTACACAACACCAGACACACTGTGATTGTATCTGTCAGTGAATGTCTGTGTCATTTAGTGTCTCTGTACATCAGTGTGTATGTGCATGTGTATATCTGTGCATGTATCAAAGTGTATATAAGTGTGTACTTTCTAGGACACCCAAAATACCAATATTCTAAAGGTAATTTTCTGCAAACAGCTTGCTAGTCCAGGGGTTAAGGAGCTGACAGGTATGTCTGCAGGCTAATCAGTGTCTTTTGAGAACTCCAACCTACCGCAGGCCAGGCAGGAGATTAAAGCGTGAGCTAGGCACACTCATCAATGGACTACATTGTGACTGATTTCTAGATAATTCTATGTATCAGGATCCATAACTCTCTCTGGTCTTTTCACCTTTTCCCCTTCAGGACTGCAAAGAATGATGGCTACAGATGTCAGAGGTGAAAGGGGGCAAAGGTCAGACAGGGTCACTTGGTCTCTGGGGAAGGTGCACCCCCATTGCCTTCTGAAATTCCTCCTCTCTATTATAGCAGGACTTGTATGTGTTCCTGGACCAATCACGTCACAAGCTGTCCAGATTGATGGAAACTTTGGTGGGCATATCTCCTTCGGCCGACGTCCACAGATACCCATGCAAAGGAGGTCTGGTTTGGAACATATGGCCCTACCGCGATAACCTCTGACCCTTACACATCTTGTGACTTTCTTTTAGACTTTAATTATAGTGCGATATCTCAATACACCAAATATTCTAAAAAGTAATAATGCCTACAAGATTACCAATGTGCTAGAAACGTGTACTGACCTCAACAAATTTTCGTTGCCACGATTCCAAGATGGCTGACGCCTTCTCCTCGGTCCAGTTGATATCTTGAATCTCATAGCTGCCCTTAAAATGTTCATAAAGCTGTCCTGGGCTCATCAGTAAGTACATGGTCTGGAGAGCTTCAGCACTATGAAGAGAAGACATCCGCAGGTTATTTCGTCATTGTTTTATTTTAAGAAAAGCAAACATTTTCTGTAGTGCAGTACAATGAACAGGTAGCTAAAACACCCAGGTACCTGATAAATCTGAGACAGTTAGTCCACGAGCCTAAATACCACATACACAATATGTGCCGAAATATGTTTTGTCTGACTCCCTGTGTTTAAGCTAGAAAAATTTGTACAATGTTCGATTACCTTTTGAGGTCTCCGTCGTGTCCCTTCACCATCCCTCCAAGGATCAGCTCCTTCTGCCAGTTCATAAACTTCTTTGAAAAACCGTTACAGCCATTGCGCAGGGTAGCGGCAATATCCACATTCTACAGAGGACAAATTTCAAAACATTATATTTAATAAAAGGTCACAGGATTTTATAAGACAGGACTTGGACAAATGGCATATTTCCAGATTTTTACTCCAAATATAGAATGGCCATATTTATATATATAATTAATTTCTCCTTCATATTATTGTTATTATTTATAATGCGCCAACCAATACTGCAGCGCTGTACAATGGGATGGATCCAGACTTCTGCCCTATGAATATAGTGGGAAGGTGATAAATATGAAAGTTACATTATCTCTGGATTAATAAATCATAGGTTTCCTATTGGCTGAAATCTTTGCAGCTAAAGGAGTGAGGTAAAGCGATGGTTACTGTAACTCACCTTTTGTGTTTTCTTGTTTGGGGCGCTTTCTGGACACTCCGGATCTGTTGGGTCCAAACACGGCCGCTCCATGTATGCACGTCCCACTTCGGCCTTATCCAGCATCTCTTTAAAGCCATCCAGACTGGCAAACTGGCCGAGTTCTTCCATTAACTGGATGGGGTCCAGGTTGGTCCACTGGATGTCTCGTCGACCCCTGCCAAAAAAACAAACATCTTGTGTTACTTTTAACCTAGGGTTTTAAACAAACAGAATGACTAACTCATTACTTACAAGGAGAGCAGGCATGATAAAGAATTACAAAGCTACGAATGGTGAGAACATTTACTAATGAATTACCCAGGTGTAGAAGACCCTATTAGGTGGTTGGGTGGGGTATTAAAATAAAAATTATTAATAAATCCAGCAGTAACTCCAACCTCGGCCTCCCACACTGAGAAACCCCAAATGTACATGAGGGTTGTTCCAATTACAGCCTTCCCTCACAGCTCAGACAAGGAGAACAAAATAAAAAATAAAAACAAGAAAAATATCCCGGTTATTTTCCTGGAAAGCTGATCAATCCATTCGTAAAGGGATTAGGTATCAAGCAACCTCGGCAATCCATTGGTTAATTTTCATTTTGATTGGCACTTCCATGCTCTTCACCTCCCAAGATCTAAGTGGTTCCTGGGGGCTCTATCCCCCCTTAACCAGCGAGGCGTACCAGATGCTAAGCAAAATACCATGTATGATCCTGTTACACAGAGGAACAAAGCCGCCTGCTACCATTTCTTTAACGCACAGTGCAAGTCAGGGCAATTAACAGCAACTCAGTAACATCTTGATAGAGCAGCCGCCCTGCGTGGAAGGCTTGGGAAAGATATCGCCATTGCAAATAGGCTACGGATCTTCAAGCTGGAGAGAATTTAACTCTGTGCATGCCACAGGTAGATGGCCAAGGCATTGGGTTTTCAAATTAAAACCGCAATTAAACTTCTTCCTGGGATTTCAGATCGAGCAAGATACAATCCGAAAGATTGACAAACAATATCTTCTATAATGGAACGATGGAAAAATAAAAAGTGATACACAGATGGTTTGTGTTTGGCAGAAAATAGTTAAGGATATAGAATGATTGTAAACTTGCCTTAAAATGGAGAGTAACAGAACACACAAGCGACTCTGTTTAAGCCAAGTCGTGCAACCTTGAATACACGACATACACTTTTTAAAACGTGCTCAGAAGACGATCCATCAAAATAAAATATATTAAATATTAGGTTGCGTTTATATGGTGAGGAAAAGTCAGTGCTACAAACAGGAAGACTGGAGAGAAATATACAAAGTTTTATAAGATCAAATGTTACGGAGAAAATGAGGAATTAGCAGCTGGGTGAGGCCTATTATCACCGAGTCTCTTAAGATAAATAAATGGTGCAAAGTACCAGGAGATGTCACTCATGTTTCATACAATCCCAATTCAGAAATAAAAGGGTTACATTTTTGCAAGTGGAATTCTCATTAAAAGGGGCAACCATGCCTGTTTAGGGGGCCCCCATGCAGCCGGCTTAGAAAGGGTATGGGCCCCGCATCCCTTCTTCACGAGCTGGGAAACTCTCAGTGCTGGGATGTGCTGACCCTATATAACAAGTTCTGTGTTTTCTCAAGCTTTACATAAAGGAAGGTGAATAAGGGGGAGTTTGAGGGAAGACAAGCAGTAAACTAAAAGGACAGAGAGGTGAGATCTAAAGGGGAGTGGGAGGGGAGGGGGGTAAAGAAATTCTCCTTTTACTGCATAAACATCATCCAAAACATCCCAATCACAAGAACATTTGACAAGGGGGAAAAAAGGTCCAAAAACCAAAATGGCCGCCCCCTACTCATTAACCCAACAGGATGAAGACTAATTTAGATTATAATCTCAACAACAACAAAAAAAGATACAATATCCACCTCCCCAGCTCAACAAAACTGTGAGGGACACACACACACAGAATCAGATTGGCGGGCGAGGGAGGGGTAGGCCGAGATGGGGCAGTGCAATAATTCATTAAATCTGGCCAGAAAGAAGGCGATTCTCGCAGATTCCCACATACCAAACGACTGGCAGTTGCTTCCAGAGTGAAGTCTCTTTATCTGTCTTTTCTTGCTTCACTGAGCCAACTCAAGGCTTTTGTTTTTTCCACACATTGCTGACTCTTTGTTATAAAGCGTCTCTCGCTCTCTCTTGCTCGCTCTCTCTCTCTGCCTCTCTTTGCGTTAAAAAAGGGAGAGAAAAAATCCCCTGAACTGAACTCAAGCGGAAGGGGGAACTGTTTGCAAGAACGAGCTTCCTTCAAACAAAAGAGATATCTTTACAACACTCTATACCCAAGATGGGGGTCACAAGAGCCGAACCCCAAAAACCTGTTTACAAAGACCAGTGACATCCATGGGAAGAAAACCATAGACTCAAGGATTTATATTAGCACCAAAAATCCTTTACAACTTCATCGGATCCGCCTTCTCTCAAATCTTCAGTCCAACCACATCTCCTTTCAATTCCTGCACAGGCAAACCTCCATCAAATGGTCCTGCTATGGCTGCTCATCCTGATCACGTACAGGGTTAACATAGACTTTCGGTTACCTTATCACATTATTAACCAGGTGTGATGCAATATATTTAGATAATGTCATATTTATTTATTTATTTAAATTTTCAGGACTCTCGAAAGCGTGCGCTGCTGAATGTCGAATTTAGACCTCTGCAGGAATTTCATCAAACATTTTATCATCTTCTAAACCAACAGATAATTTAACGCTGGCGTATCTCCCCACTCTTCGCTTGTAATCCGCTCCTCTGTTCTTTTGGTCCGTTTGCATTCTTCTAATTCTATTTTCCTCCCTCCATGGTTTTCCCTTATCTCCCCCCTTTCTGTTTTACAGTTCTTTAGTCCACCAGCCCTCTGAATAATGGCAGTATTTCAATTTGTTTAGCAACTCATGCCATCCACAGGTTCATTAGCATGAGAATGTGCTGTGTTACCATTTGCTGACAAAGCAAGTGCTTTGCTTGGGCCCCATATAGATAAACACACTTGTAAACAGAAAGAATGGCCACTATTGTCTGTGTTTCCATCCTCCATTCCCTTTCCATCCCCCCCACCTTTTACACTTACCCCCTCACCAAAATCCTCTCCTGCCCCCCCTTGCAGGCTGAATCCCCACTCACTCAGCCTTAATAGAAACATAATTGCATGGAGTAGGCGAAGGGGGGGGGGGGGTTCCAGGCAAGGCTTGTGTTGCCGAAATGGACACACTGACATAGGCTAAAATCAAGGTTGCCACCAACCGTAGCCCTGAACTTGTAAAGGGGGGTGAGAAAGCGAAGAGCATATCAAAGCCCTTGTGTGTCCACCTCTAGCATGACGGTGACCAGATACCCTCATAACACAGCGAACATATAACCTCAACAAAGACTGGCTAAATACTTACGGTAGGTATGCGGAGCCTCCCTGCAGCTGAGACCCTTCCCAGAAACAGTCCAGGGGAGTGATGACCACACAAGGAAAGAGTTTCTCGATCATCTGGTGAACGATACAAATATTGATGTAATTGTAATCTCTGTATGTAACACAACGCCGACCAATGCAAAGAGCCAATACTAGGAGAACTACTTGTAATCTGTCTGACTAATGTCTATGCAGCACCCTAATATCATGTAATTAGTGAAATGTAACTATTACTGTCTGTTACCTCGCTATGGGTGTTTTGCACAATTTTACTTTTATTTCCTTAACCCCTTAAGGATACATGACATGTGTGACATGTCATGATTCCCTTTTATTCCAGAAGTTTGGTCCTTAAACCTGCTCTATGTTTCGACACTGACCCAGATACATCATTATTCAATAATTATTCAACACAGAATTTTTTTATAACACACAACAAATCTGTCTTTTCCACAGTACTCACTCTCTCAATCATCCCGGTCTCAATTATTGGAACGCCTGACTTGTAGCAAATATTGTTCAAGTTCCACGATCTGCAGGAGAACACAGTGATGGTTTAAAGAATAATTCAGGATATCAAACATCGTATGATTTTTGCTTTGACATTAATACACATTCTCTATTCTCTTCAGACCAATAAGAAACCCAAATATTTAGGAAGCAGGTGGTAAAGGTGTGCTGTAGATAGTCCTCGACGTCCTAGATCAAGGTATCTACCTTTTATGTGCACTACAGTTCTCAACCCACGACTTACTAGATGATATCTCCCCCCCCCCTAAGTCAATATATAAAAAATGAGACACAGCCATGACTTCTATAACAGCTGTGTATATGAGGTGGTATGTTTAATTACAGGGTTTTATACTTTTCCAAAGTACTCAGCATTACATTTTTCTATAACGAACACAAATGTCCAGCTCTCATTACCCCCCATTATTGTTGGAAAATGTTCTAATCAAAAGATTACGGCCACAGTACGGACCTTCACGTTACTTACTTCCCATACATAGACACCTGGACTTTGCTAGCTGCCAGAGCTGCCTGCAGATGAAGAAGTATGGCCTCCTGGTTCAAGATATTCTCTCCTTCTTTCTTTGGCGTCTGGATCAGCATCTGGGATGTGTAAACCGATTCTTCTCCCAACTTCTCCTTGGTGTAGCAAAGTTCATGGCTTACACGGCTCCCCGCTGTCAGGAGAGACGAAGAGTAAGAAATAGTCATCTTAACAGATCTACTCTGCCCCTTCGTAACATACAGGGCTTTTAGGAATTTAATATCAAACCTAAAATAAAGACTTTCTTTAGAGAAGAGCAGCCACCACTATGGCTTGCTTAAAGTATTATTGAGCTTCAATCGGTCTTGTTTAAAATTGAGGAAAACTCGTAAACCAGTGAAAAGTTCTAGGTAAGTCATAGGTCTGCTGAGTCTGACCAATTTTATTATTATATTTTTTACATCATGAATGCATCATGGACAATGTAGACCTCGGACATCTGCAGGGCTCATATTAGTCATCACAGACAGAAACCAGCTCATCGTCTTATGAGTTCAGATCTACGTGTGATGCATATCTTGTCTTTAAAAAGTGCCCTACTGCGGGTTTTTATTGCTGTACTTACCGCAAAGCCAAAAAATGGATAAACAAATTCACCACAAATACTTTCAATATTTTAATAAGTGGGGGATACTACATGCAGTCATTGACCTTTTCCCCCTTGGTAATAAAGACACTTGACCGCACAGCCAGTGGGATATCCGCACCTGATTGGAGATCGTTTTTCAAAGCAGTAGTAAATATGGAATGTCTGGGTTCATTAGGGATTGAACGAATCATATACTACAGATATAACAGGCTACAAACTGGATTTCTCAATATAATGCAAGCTATTTGTTCGACAGTCTGGGAGAGGACATTTTCTCACACACTGTTTGTATACGGTTCATTAATAAGGTCTATAGAACACATATTACATAGAAAACATCACCGGAGAGCTTGCACTCAGTAACAATGTTACCTCCGCCGCTTATTCTATAATAACCTGGCAGGAAATAGGTTGAAATGTGACTGTCGTAACAAGTTCTCAAACGATGGGAACGGCGTAGCTGAGGTATTCACTGCGCCGCTTGCGAACTTTGTGAAAAGAAAGAAAGTTTCTCGTCATTAGCGCTAATTTGAAGCAGTGCTGGTCCATCAGGGCTTCAAAGCACATTGAGATCGGCTGAGGAATGTCAACTCCCTAATTAACCCAGGGAACAGACATGAAAAGAGGAGGCAGGGGGACGAAGAGACAAACTTCAAACGGAGGACGCTGCTGTACAGCCAGGGAGGGCAAGAGCGGAGATCACAGCGAGAGGAGGAGGAAGATCAGGGTGAAATTTGCCCCAAAACAAGGTCAAGGACAAAGATGGCACTTAGAGCATTTTGTTTCTAAAACACCTGTTTAATCATTGGGCTTTCAGACCTTTTGGTCAAACCAGCATCAACGATATTGTGGAAGGAGACTGCAGCTGTTGGGTGACACCAACTCCCTTTACAGCTGGCTGAGGGTGATAAGTCCAACCATGGCTGTGACAAGAACCTTCATAGCACCATGACATTAAGCTGGTCCTACTCTGTATGATGCAGAGGTTAATCATATCTAGCTTACAAAAAACTTGCAGCGTCTGCATAATAACTGTACACGTTTACCATAACTTGCGTGATCTCTCCCTGTGCTCTAACCTACAGTAAAACTGGGTGGCTGACTGCTATGAATAGACAAGGAGAGGCTTGAATGGGGAGGAACGTTTTACTAATTACTGAGGCCCAGGCCTTATATCTCCGTCTGTACTGTCTATTCTCGCCCATCTGGACCACCCAAACTGGCAGCTCATCCCTCATCTGGTCCCCATGTGATTGAGCCGGGTGTTTTACTCATTCGCACTTTGCACACACACACTCCCACGCTAACTGTGCTAGACTAGGCTACAAAAACTCAGACTCTCAGCGGTCTCAGGCATGTTATTACTATAGCAGGTCAATACTCTCCGAGATAATGTGTCGGAGGTTTCAATTATAATTCTATACATTTAGCGGTTCCCCAGAGCTATGTGTCCGTGTTAAACAAACAAGACACGTGTGTTGTACTTGTTATAATGTCTAAATGATATTTCTCCAAGAAATGAACTATAATCATAAATAATAGGAGCCTTTCATAAAAGCCCACACATGCACATTTCCCAACACTTTCATTTCATCCCAAAGAATATTTACCATGATTTGGGGTTTTATTGCTGGGATTTTCAGGAAAAAAAAATTCAACATTTATATATCTATATAACAGCGAAAAAGAAAATACACTTTTGGGGCTTTTGTTTAGTTTTTTTTTTTGTAGATTTGCAATTTTGGAGTAAATTTAGCAAGTTAGGGGTCAACTCACTGTTTATAGAATAAACTTTGCTTTCCAAATTTGGAAAGGCAGCTCTTTTTAATAAAACTTTTGCAGCCATATATTTTATAAGCCCCTTTTTGAGAGTCGCTACCCAGAATTCTTTTCTGCTTTATTGCCCTAGAGAATTGGTGACAATGGTAAGACATTCACAAAGAGAATTCTATAATTAACAATAAATCCACATATTATTCTTGGTGGGTTCCCGTTCCTACCCCTTCCTCACTCTCAGCCCACAAACAGTCACTATGTATATCCCCGTAGCGGCAGTATAACTCAACCTGGTTGACTGCAGCTTTGGAATTGCTGATATTTCCTGAGCCACCCAAACAGTACACGTGTGCTCTGTGTGCACGAGAGCGTGGCTAGTGCTCCACCATATGTTAAGCTCATGGGGCGAGTGAGGGTGTTCATGGGTGACTAGCTCTACTCTGGGAAGGTGTTTGCATTGGCTGCGTCATTAATAATACATAGTTTAGAAAAAAAAAATAGTATTATATGATCTTAATATTTTCCCAGCAGCCCCCTCTGCTTAGACAATCCATGCGTGCTGCATTAAATCTGTCAATCGCAGATCGGCTGCAAAATAAACACGAGCCATTCTACTGTCTGGGGTAAAGACAGGGGGGTAGCAGCGGTTTATAGAGCATTTTGTTAGCTGCCAACTCATAGTCGGTCATGTTTAAACAGGAAATATTCCCACCCCACAGCAGATGTGATAACAAGTACTTAAAGGTAACCCCCACACACTAATATGCACTCTCTACATAGACCTCACAGTCTCTGCCAGCTCACACAGACACACACACCCCAGCTCACATAGACACACACACCCCAGCTTACACAGACACACACACTCGCTACATAGACCTCACAGTTTCTGCCCGCTCACACAGACACACACACCTCAGCTCACACACAGACACACACACTTCCTACATAGACCTCACAGTCTCTGCCAGCTCACACAGACACACACACACACCTCAGCTCACACACAGACACACACACTCCCTACATAGACCTCACAGTCTCTGCCAGCTCACACAGACACACACACCTCAGCTCACACACAGACACACACACTCCCTATATAGACCTCACAGTCTCTGCCAGCTCACACAGACACACACACACACCTCAGCTCACACACAGACACCTCATCTCACACACAGGCACACACACTCCCTACATAGACCTCACAGCCTCTGCCAGCTCACATACATACACACACGGGCACACACACACTCTGCATAGAGCACAGAGTCTCTGCAAGCTCACAGATACCCACACATACATACATACATACATACATACACACACACACACACACACACACTCTGCACAGACCTCAGAATTCTGCTAGCTCACAGACAGACACACACACACACACACACACACACACAATTTGCGCAGACCGGATAGTCTATGAGCTCACAGGCACATAGAGACACCCACACATACATACACACACACACACACACAACTCAGCTCACACACAGACACACACACACACACCTCAGCTCACACACAGACATACACACACACCTCAGCTCACACAAACCTCAGCTCAGACCTCATTTTCGGTGTTTAGATATCCTCAAACAAATGATGATGGCAGCTTTTATCTTTTAAAAATCCCAACTTAATCGCTCTTAAATGGGAAATACACACACCATAACTACTACACCATAGGTCACAAGGACTCTACACACAGAGTCTGTGTTAATAGAGAGTCGCTGAAAAGGGGAAGGATGAATCCCACTCTCCCATGTAAATATTTTGGATGCATAATAAGGTGAAACGTTCTCATATAATGCCCCAGGCCGGGGGGCAGGCCCGTGGGATGCCAGGAAGGAACCCTACTTTTTCCCAAAATCCAATGTGACTGCAACCATAAACAAAGTCTGTGCACCATAACCAGTACAATATGCTGCAGTGATTATGGTGCTCGTAGTGTCCCTTTAAGTACTCGTGGCACAGCACATGCGTGTAAAGTACTTTCCCATGCTAGCTTCAGGCCATTTCAGATTATTTGTTCATAGTCCGACTAACACGTTATCTTTGTGTTATAAGAAAATATCTCCAGCTCTTGGTGAAGGAAACGTTTCCGTGTTTGCTTCACTGTTTATTGACTATCCCCAGCAGTATATTTACAGCGAATTGCAATATTTAGGCTGAAATATTCCAGCTGTGACTACACCAAACGTTGGATAGTCTTTCTAAATACGCTATTTATTTGCTTACATTTTACAGAAGGGTTTTCGGTTTACCACAATTCAGTGTTTAGTGGGTAAACCCCGGGCCGTTTTGTATGTTTAAGAGATCTGATCTGCTGAACATGCAGGCTGTTCTACCCCGGTGTCTGTTCGTAGAACACATATTGGAGGAACTAACTAACAAGGCCAAACTTGCGTTCTCGTCTGCGCTTTAATGCTGTCTATCTCAGCCCTGGCATGACTACCAACAGGAAGTTAGCAATTTGTAACAGATTTCTAAATCAGTACGGGAGGTCTGTTATGCACGACAAGGCCATTGCAGGATTCTCCGTGCCTTACAAGTTCATCCAACACAATTAGTTACTTGCAAAATGTCCAAAATTTCACATTCTATTAACCACTATGAAGTGTGCACAGTTCGCCTCTGGACGTATCGATAACGCAAGAGTAGTCATCGCAACCCCAGGGCAGCTTTCATACAGAAATCACAGATATACCGGTATTCTATACCATGCGATAAAGTAACCTCTGCTTGGAACGGTCTCTCCCACCGCTCTGTATTTAGGACAATTGCTCCAGGGAGCTTGAAATTAGCAGTCTATGGATACGTCTCCTCTAAGTGTTTTGGGGGAAGGGATTATATGGATTAAGCTATCTGTGAGAGCCCCCCACTGCTCGAGAGGATGTGTCTCACAAGGGGTTCTCGGATACATATTTACCGGCCCCCTAGACAGCAAATAAAGTATTAGCTGTCTCGTCCCAAAAACAATCGAATGTTAAAACTAACCTCCGTCTATTCAGCCTTAAACCAATGATTGTCATGTTCTGTATGTTCGCACAGAGTAAATGTGTTAAACAATAATCTAGATTCCCTTGCTCAATTGAGCCATTGGGCGTCATTTCTTGACACAATCATACCAGCTCCATACAGTGATTTTAAAATGACAGATAAATTAAAAAATAGTTCTTATTACTGATATAACGAGAAGCTTTGAAAAGCTCATTCGCAGGAGATGAAATTCTATGCTACAGAACTCCGAGCTGTAACGCTGAGGACATTCTTGGAGTTATATGTGTAAATCATTATAAACTGACATGGCGTTTTGACCATCACTCCTATTTGGCCTGTGATACCCAATGACGTGGCTCTAATGTAACTCAGTCAAATTTTTAAATAATCAACTGTCCCTTTACTGTAGACAAGGGATGTCCAGCTTTAGACCTTTGGCTTTTGTTCAACTGTAATTCTCAGACATTTATGCTGGTCTGTAAGACTGGAGATCCCAAATGTAGACTCAGCTGGACATAGCGTTGGGAAGTCTAAGAGATCGGAGCCATTTCCTGCAATTTAAGTGATCAGTCCTTTCTACCATCAGATTTTAAACATCTCTGTCTATCTGTGACTGCACACACGGACAATGTACCCGTATTGAAGCCATTAAAAAATGAAAAGTCACCAAGCCCTGGCAGAAATATTTGGGAAATTATCAAGATCGTTATCTGCATTATTACGTTCGGCAAAACATCCGTTTCCCAAGCTGAGTCGCAATGTGTCATCATGGGGCCTGGGAGCCAACAGGGTCATCACTATAAGAGATGGCTTTTATTATCGTTTTGAGAAAATGATTAAACATTTCTTTGCTATCGGCAAAACAGTCCTTAGTAATTCTTCATTTAGCTGTCTGGGTGGAGGGGGGGTGGGGTCTCCCTCAGATGACCCCATCCACGTATTTCACCCATTGGTGAAAAACCATGAAGATATATTTTTGATTTTTGCTCTGTTTCATGCAGCACTTGGGTCATAACGAAACCAGACATATAATATATAAAACATTGAGATAATGTGTGTTATAGAGCGAGAAGGAAAGATTCTTAGTATGGGGTTAAATAAATTATACTAAATTAAAAATTAATCCTGTAACAGTGTAGCTCTCGCTCTAGGTCCTTTAATGGGAGGTAAAGGGGGGTGGGAGGGGGGGGGACTGGTAACAAGCGATCCCAGACCAATAGTTTAAGCACGGAGTCTAACTTTTTCCCACACCCCATATAAATAGTGCTCAGAACTCCCATCTCAGCCAAGCACTCCACACCATAAATACTAAGAGCAGATGCACAGTCTTCCCCAAGTCTCAATAGCACTTTACCCACTCAGACTGGGCCTATTGTGTGCACCGTGAATGTCCTCCTAGATTGTTCTAATACAAGCAAGACAGAAGGAGGGGAGAGGGAAAAAGGACCCCCACCACCTCATTCCCACCACCATTACTTTATAACAACACATATAATCCTCCTGATTTAATTTCACTATGTGCTGATGGCTCGGACTTTAAAATAATCTAGAAATGTTATTATATTGCTTGTGATAACTTTTTACATGTCCACCCTCTCCTCCCCGAGGCCAAAACAGGAACATATTGGAGTAAGACATAGGTAGTTTATTTACTATTAATTACCTGAGAATTTTCTGAATGAACTAATGAATTAATTAACCCAAGAAAATGATTAACTTTGATAGGAAACAAATAGTACTTAAAGTCTCAACTACTGCTGCTAGGATACTCTATAACTTCTAATAACGGGATTTACAGTCCAGCCAGGACCAGCAGAAAGAGCAGGCTGGAGAGGATGAGAGACGCCTTTCCCAGGGCAGATCATTATAATGGTCTAGGGGCTAGAATGGAACAGTAATTGTTTCCATGGGGCAATGTTTGGGGAGATGGGCCCTGTTGTTAGACAATCTCAAACGCATGGTGCTCTGGTCTACCCGGAAAAAGTAAAATAATGGTTGAGATTTTCTGCGTACTCTGCGTGTGGTGTTAAGATATGATCATTACGATTACTATTTTGTAACGTAGCTTTTGGTGTACATTCCATGTACATTTACACCTGGGACCAACCTGTCGCATAGTGTCAAAATAAATCACGATTTCTTCCAAAGTCACAGAACTCAGACAGAGCCACACATTAAATATGTTACAAAACTGGGACATCAGAGTAGAAGAAGGGACATCCTGTGTGACAGGGGGGTCCAGTAGTCTCACTGGGTGGGCTGTAGTTTTATTTGGGATGGGACCAGACTTTGTCTAAACAACGTTTGATGTGGCAAAGTCAATATAGACTGATTTTCATCCAAAAAAGGCCTCTAACCACACCTGGCTAGTGATCTACCATTGAGAAACTCGTCAGCCTTGGGTTCTCTTAAAATATTAATATTAACGCAAAGCTTAGTTAGAACATCAGGTTCCCGAGGCGACAGCTGCCAATTCAGATTCAAGATCTAGACATTAAACTGTATATGGCTAAAGTGAGCAGCTAAAACGTTACAGGACACTCTACACAGGACGAGACCCAGAGTTAAATATCTCGACAGCATATAGAGGGGGCATGCTGCGGACTTTTTCTAATGCGCAAAACAATATTATTATTATTTTATTATTTATATAGCGCCATCACATTCCGTAGCGCTGTACGATATATAACACAAAATATACACGGCCACATTGTAGAAATAATCAGCCAACATCTCCGAACACAACTCTCATCAAGCTTAGCTCTATCCCGCCCCGGCTACTTCTCAGAAAACATGAAAATCAGAATCACAAGGGGTGACGGCAAATCACAAAACTCAAAGTCTAATTAATCATAACACATATAATCTCCAAATCCCTTCACAGAGGACTCTGCGTACTCCCCCTCTTCTTTAGGGATCATTTAATTACACGTGGATTGGGAGTTATCGTTAGTGACTCTTATCTTGTATTTTCCAGAGCTGGGGGTGCTGACAGACAGTGACATTTTGAATTACGAGCAATCCACGATCTCTTCTCTATTAAATCCTGCAGACTGTGTGTGGATCCTTTAAATATCTCAAAACACACAGGCTATTGCAACAACTGAACCAACTCCTACTCCTATCACTCCCTTAGGAAAATACAAAGATATATTTTTAATATATCTTATAAATGCGTGTGATAAATGAAAAAGGCTTTTAATTGTAGAATACAAAAAACACATCTGTAATGCATTGCCCTCCTACAAGCCCCGAATACACACGTTTTAAAACATTATCTTTGACATTTTCGTATATATATATATATATATATATATATATATATATATATAATTTTTACCGACTCCAAAGTGCTGTTTAATTAATTTCACATTCTTTTTAAAGTGCTAAAAATTTCATTGAAACTCCACAGAGTCTATCCATTAACCAGCGCAATATTTAAGCCATCGGATTTGGATCATAATTTTATTGCCAAAGTTTGAGCAGTAGCTGACGGCGTTACATGTTAGCGAATTAGGCGTCATGGTCCCACTATGTGTCCTTCATTTATTAATTTCCAGACATATTCTGTTACGGATGGCAGATATTTTAGATGTAAATCCTCCAGCGTAGAATGTGAGCTGAGACAGAGGCGTGGATGTTTGTATATATGGACGTAACGTATAGATTATATATACACATCGTCCAGTCTATGTTTAAAAGCTCCCAACCCCCCTCCTTACAGGGCACAGCTGCTTACAATTCCTGTAGCTCCACCAAGAAGCCTTTTGTGCTCTTCCTATTAGGTCCCAGACCACCCACTGCCAATGGTGACCACCCAAGAAACCAGCACTCCCCCTCCCCCCCTTCCTGCTTACAGAAGAGAACCAATAAGCAGCCGCTCACAGAAATCCTTAGTTTGTTTTCTCTGTCTCTGTATATGGAATGCTGATTCCATTAGATCCCAGCGCTGGGATACTTTGTGTCTGCTCACTGCCTACTGCAGCCATGCTCTCCCTGCTGCACTCACTGCTGCACAGTAACCCACAGTGTGCACCCCAGATCAGGGTAACTCACCGTGTGCACCCCATATCAGTGTTACCCACAGTGTGCACCCCATATCAGTGTTACCCACAGTGTGCACCCCAGATCAGTGTTACCCACAGTGTGCACCCCAGATCAGGGTAACTCACCGTGTGCACCCCATATCAGTGTTACCCACAGTGTGCACCCCATATCAGTGTTACCCACAGTGTGCACCCCATATCAGTGTACAGTGTGCACCCCAGTGCACCCCATATCAGTGTTACCCACAGTGTGCACCCCATATCAGTGTTACCCACAGTGTGCACCCCAGATCAGGGTAACTCACCGTGTGCACCCCATATCAGTGTTACCCACAGTGTGCACCCCAGATCATCAGTGCACCCCATATCAGTGTTACCCACAGTGTGCACCCCAGATCAGGGTAACTCACCGTGTGCACCCCATATCAGTGTTACCCACAGTGTGCACCCCAGATCAGGGTAACTCACCGTGTGCACCCCATATCAGTGTTACCCGCAGTGTGCACCCCAGATCAGGGTAACTCACCGTGTGCACCCCATATCAGTGTTACCCGCAGTGTGCACCCCAGATCAGGGTAACTCGCCGTGTGCACCCCATATCAGTGTTACCCGCAGTGTGCACCCCAGATCAGGGTAACTCACCGTGTGCACCCCATATCAGTGTTACCCACAGTGTGCACCCCAGATCAGGGTAACTCACCGTGTGCACCCCATATCAGTGTTACCCACAGTGTGCACCCCAGATCAGGGTAACTCACCGTGTGCACCCCATATCAGTGTTACCCGCAGTGTGCACCCCAGATCAGGGTAACTCACCGTGTGCACCCCATATCAGTGTTACCCGCAGTGTGCACCCCAGATCAGGGTAACTCGCCGTGTGCACCCCATATCAGTGTTACCCGCAGTGTGCACCCCAGATCAGGGTAACTCACCGTGTGCACCCCATATCAGTGTTACCCGCAGTGTGCACCCCATATCAGTGTTACCCACAGTGTGCACCCCATATCAGTGTTACCCACAGTGTGCACCCCATATCAGTGTTACCCACAGTATGCACCCCAGATCAGGGTAACCCACAGTGTGCACCCCATATCAGTGTTACCCACAGTGTGCACCCCAGATCAGGTTAACCCACATTGTTACGGACAGTGTGCACCCCATATCAGTGTTACCCACAGTGTGCACCACACAGCAGGGTAACTCACAGTGTGCACCCCATATCAGTGTTACCCACAGGGTGCACCCCAGATCAGGGTAACCCACATTGTTACTGACAGTGTGCTCCCAAGATTAGGGTTACGGACAGTGTGCTCCCCAGATCAGGGTTACTGACAGTGTATTCCCCAGATCAGGGTTACGGACAGTGTGCTCCCCAGATCAGGGTTACTGACAGTGTGCTCCCCAGATCAGGGTTACTGACAGTGTGCTCCCCAGATTAGGGTTACGGACAGTGTGAACCCCAAATCAGGGTTACTGACAGTGTGCTCCCCAGATTAGGGTTACTAACAGTGTGCTCCCCAGATTAGGGTTACGGACAGTGTGCTAAACCTTTACACTGCAGAGGTTCATGGACTACATTTCCCATGATGCTCATCGGCTTCATCATTCACAGGAAGTAAACCCTGGTTACCTCTGGATAAAAGGTCTTTTTCAGGATTGAGAAGATAATCGATTACTTATAATAAATGAACCAAAATAATGTTACTTCTGTCTGCAACGTTCAGTGAATACGGACACGCTAATAATAATAATATATGGAAGATGTTCTGCAGCAGCCTGAAATAGTGTTACTGTCTACATTGCAAAAACTGAACTCCGACAGGCATACTCACTAAAGAGAGAACTGGTGGGAATTCAAAGAGAATTTCACATTTAAGGCCATAATAGCTGAATTGGAAGCATAGTTGAGAACTCTTCCAACTCGGCTATTTAAGCCTTAAATGTGAAATTCTCTTTGAACTCCCAACAATTTGCATTTTAGTGAATAACTATGAATGTCACACTATGGCTGAGTGAGAGAAGGTTTCCTCCAAAAACAGCTATTTTTTCCTACGTTTCCCTATTCAGACACTAATTTGCTACATTTCAGAGTTTAATAAATAAGGTTAATGCTTTGTCATTAAAAAAACGAAATCCATTTCAGCTCCGCAAAGAATTCCCAGCCCTTATTTCTCAATACATGACTGTTTATCTGTATATGGTCTGTGTCCCTTCTCCAGTACCTCAGATCCTGCAGAACATCTTATTCCCAGCCGCCAGTCTGCAGGCACACAATAAGTCCAACCATTTGGCACAATTACTTTTTACGAGTTTTAGAGCCAAGTGGCCGTGCATGACCGCGTTGACTGGAAGCAGTAACAAAGCACAATAACAAGGCACAATATTACCGCAAGACCAACATTTTGTACCTTTTATACCAGGAATGACAATTCTTAGTGATATTCCTGGGGACAGAAATGTTCTATGCTTATTCAGAAAGGTGTTTCTGCAAAGGTGCAAAATAATACCAGTCATCATGGAAACCACAACTTATCCAACATTAACCAGCAGAATGAAAATAGAATCTGTTCTTAACGTTCTCCCTGAGACGCTGAGAATCTGCTCATGCACACACAGGCCCTGAATCTGCTTATTTACACACAGGCCCTGAGAAACTGCTAGTTCACCCACAGACCCTGAGAATTGAATCATTCGTACACAGACCCTGATAATCTGCCCATTTACCCAAAGACCCTGAAAATTTGCTCATTCACAAACACGCCCTGAGAATCTACTAGTTCACACACAGACCCTGAAAATCTGTTCATTCACCCACAGACCCTAAAAATCTGCCCATTTACTAGCAGACCCTGAAGATCTGCTCATTCATACACAGACCCTGAGAATTGACTCATTCATACACAGACCCTGAGAATCTGTCCATTCACCCACAGACCCTGAAAATCTGCTCATTCACACACAGACCCTGAAAAACTGCTCATTCACACACAGATCCTGAGAATTGACTCATTCATACACAGACCCTGAGAATCTGTCCATTCACCCACAGACCCTGAGAATCTGCCCTCTCATACACAGATCCTGAGAATTGACTCATTCATACACAGACCCTGAGAACTGACTCATTCATACACAGACCCTGAGAATCTGTCCATTCACCCACAGACCCTGAGAATCTGTTCATTCATACACAGACCCTGAAAATCTGTCCATTCACCCACAGACCCTGAAAATCTGTCCATTCACCCATAGACCCTGAAAATCTGTCCATTCACCCACAGACCCTGAGAATCTGTTCATTCATACACAGACCCTGAGAATCTGTTCATTCATACACAGACCCTGAGAATCTGTCCATTCACCCACAGACCCTGAGAATCTGTTCATTTATACACAGACCCTGAGAATCTGTTCATTCATACACAGACCCTGAAAATCTGTCCATTCACCCACAGACCCTGAGAATCTGTCCATTCACCCACAGACCCTGAGAATCTGTCCATTCACCCACAGACCCTGAGAATCTGTTCATTCATACACAGACCCTGAGAATCAGCTCATTGATCATGAGAATCAGCTTATTTTTCCAGAAAAGTTGAGAATCTGACAACTCTTCCAATAAATCATCCCATTCACGCGAGCATTTCATGTTCTCATTATTACTATAGGCATTTATATATTTTTGCAGGATATTACAATTTTACAGTGATGGCTTACCATACAATGATAAAATACTGACAGACAGAATAGGTGAAGAAGGCTCTGCTTAAATAATCCTCCAATCTGCAAATCCAGACACAGCGACTGTCATATCAACGCAGTGCCATACTGGGACCATAGGGGTTAGGGGGCAAGGAGTATGTAATTAGCAAACTGTCATTAGAAAGTGGAGACCGCCACTGCTAGAGCCCACACTGCCAAATCCTGTCATTGACAGGGACTTCCTGTAATAACCTGATTGGCGTCTAAAAGAGGCGGAGTTATGTTTCTGTCAGTGCGCATGTACAGTGTGTTCTCATACAGAGTAAAATAAATACTTTACATGTGAGCAGCCTGCGTACACTGTAATATTGTATCATACTCCCTAGCTGGCTTAGCATCGTGGGAAATGTAGTTTAATTGTAATTACAGGAGCCAACATTTAACCCCTTATGGACCAAACTTCTGGAATAAAAGGGAATCATGACATGTCACACGTCATGTGTCCTTAAGGGGTTAAAGTCAGCGCCTCGAACTTACAAAAAAGATGAGTCCAGTTGCTGGACTACATTTCCCATCATTCTCTGCAAACTGTCGTATCATATTTGCAACAAATTCTTGAATGCCTCCCATGACACAGTATGTTGGCGCTTTACGAATGAACAGTATGCGCCCCACCTTCTACGACAACAGTTTGGGCATGACCTCCATTTTTACCATCACCTTCTTACACCAATACATCCATACGGACATTCCGGCACAAACTGGTACCAATAACATCAACACTGAATTACTCATGCCTCTTTATTAAACCATCAACCGAGCATTACGTTACCACCAAAATCTATTTTAATAAATAAATATTACTTTAAAATGTAGGTGTTTATTGGCTAAAACATTTTTGCTCCTTGCGATCAAATCATTTGTTTCGAATGAATTACGTAAAAAATAAAAACTCACAATAACAGGGTGAATACAATCGACACTCACCTTCAACCCATAGCCGTTCAATGTCCGTCTCGATGGAGGCCACTCGAAGTCCAACCGTCAAAGCACCAAACACCAACAGTCCGATAAATAATACTTTTCCGCAATGTCTGTGAATGGAGCAACCGAGCCAGAAGAGTAGAGCTTGGAACTGAGCCCTCAGCCAGAGAGGAGCTTTCTGACCTACTGCTTTACCCTAGGAAGACAAAAAAACACCAAATGTCATCAATCACACGCAGCACCCCACCAGAATTCCTATACATCAGAACAATACAGCCCGCAGTCACCATGCCTTGAGCAGCTTTCAACACAGCTGCTCTTGGGGGTCACTAAAAGTTGTCTACGTGCCCAGGTATCCCCGGGTTAGCCAGTTCTGTGCGCTGATATCTCCTGATTGTAACAGTGTGAGATCCCCTAGCAGGTAGTGCCAGCGGTGATATTAGTTACAGATGTTGAAGTACAGGAGTCGTCCGATGAGCCCTAATTCTTTGCAGGTTGTTAACAGAATTTATGGGACTGATCTTTATAGATGTTGCACATGAGCTTTCAATGCCATAAAAGTCTTGTCTTGCGATGTGAAAACTCAGAATTTAAACACTGACTCAGACAATTTATTGTGGCCTTTACAGCCCACCTGGTCTGTACAGATCTCCCACCCACATAGCAGGCTAAGAAATACGGAGAGAGAGGCTATCGGGAGAAAAAGAGAAATAAATAGAGGAAATAGAAGGGTATAAATGAATGGATAACGGAGGTTGGGAGCAAGAAATGGGGCTGATAATATTTTACTGTGGCCGGAAATAAAAGGATTAAGATTCAGCAGAAAACAAAGGGTGAACGTTAGGCAGAAACCAAAGTGAATTTTCCCACATTTTTGTGGCTGCAGCCAGAAGCTGCCAGTGCCCTGTGGCTGGAAAACTGATACGGCGCCAACCACACAGCTACCAAGGGAAGGGAGCAGCTAGCATCCTGTGGGTAGGGGAGGGAGCCGCCTGCTCAGGTGGCACAGGCTCAGCAATGCCCACAGAGCAGATTATTGCCATTCCCCTCTTATTGTAAAGCTGGCGCTATATAAATACCAATAATAATAATCCCATCCGTGTCTGGAGGGGATACACTACACAAACCTATCAATTCATACCCCCGCCACGCACACACTGACAGGAACGGTCTCTCTTATGTCACAGGTGTTGCTCTCCGAAAACCAATGAGTGAAATATAGCAGGGTACATGCAGAGTGCCTCGATGGCCCCAGTGCCAAATGGATGAACAAATGTGGGAGTGGGTGTGGGGCAGCAGAGCCCCTTACAGCCAAATTACGCACTGACCTCCCACCTGAATAAAGACATTTTAATGCAATTGTCAGTAACTCTATAGCCAACATCCGCAGCTTTTATTAACGAGCTGCCACCGTCCGCTTCCCTCCTGGCTATAACTACATGGACCGGGTGTCACTCTAATCCCAGGCAAGGTCAAGAGGTCAAGGGTCATGTTTGCATGGCACAGTTGGCATTCTACCTGTTAAAACACTGGTCGCCATGCTATCATGGATCTGGCTCCTTAATGACAGCACAAAGCACACGATTTAACACAAACAATATACACCTATTAGAGTGTAAGCTCTTCAGGCCAGTGACATCTAAACCTAACAATGTATGAGCTGAGGGCGTGTGAATTTTTACTTTCCAGTCTGATCTGAGATTAATTCTCCCCTCTCCTCCTACTCCATGGATCTGGGGACTGCTCTCTCTGAAAGGGGTAAGAGAATAAGGCAAGCCAGCAGTCACCACCCAGGAATGGAAACAGTGAGGGGAACAAGATCTGCCCAAAATCCGCTCACTCGGTGTGTGGGAAATCACTCCTTTCACCCCAGAGGCTTGTAACATGCAATTCTACTAACATTCCCAGAGAGATGATGGGTCGTATTCACTAAACTGGGCGTTAAGGAGAATTAACAAGGGAATAGGTAACATCAGGCCAAAGTAGGTGGAAACGGTAACTAGAAAAGTTGGATAATTTTCTCCGTTTGATTATTTTGGCCTAAAATTTCAATTCCTTGTCAATTGCTTCACAGTCCCATTCCCACTTTATTATGAGAAACAGTCAGAAATTATTAAATTTTATGAGAAATAAAAATCAATCATTTTCAGAAAATTGACAAAACCCACATCATTCATAACTCAGACTGTTTTTGCCAAACACATGCTGCTCTTTTGGTGCGCTTTGTAATATTAGTTTTGGGTGAGGCTGTCAGCTTCTTTGGCAAGGAATATTATAATATCAACAACTGCACATTTAATATCTGCCTGGGTGTATTGTGATACAGTGTTGGGAGGGCATGCACTGAACAGTACATAGATTGTAAGCTCTGCAGGTTAGAGATGTCACTATAGCCTGGCTGTGTGTATGATACAATCATTAAATCACTGAATAGTTATCACTATAACAGTGTCACCCCATAATATAATCAGAAACCCCACAATTATTTCACCCCACAATATACACTGCATGTTTTGGGCAATGTTATAGTGACACCTTTCTAATGACAGATAATAGAAGGGGGCATTAAATGTGCCCACACATTGGTACTTACCCTGGCAATTTGTTTGAGTGCATAGGCAGCATGGCAGTAACTAGGTCTCCTGAGCAGGTCAGAGTTGGCAGCAGTGGGGTGAGGTGCTTTGTACCCAGGGGGTAACTCTACAAACCCACCTTCCCCCACTATGGGGGGCACGGAGGCCATTGGGATCCCAGAGCACAAAGGAGGAATGGGGTTAACACACAAGTAGGATGTGTCCAAGATACAGGCCACCGACCACCGACGTAGGTAGACAATCAACACAGATTAATCCATGTAAAGAGATGAGGGGCAGCTGTGAAGGTCTCCATCTAGGTGGGTAAATCCATAGAACCCTGGGTGTTCTTCATGCTATCCAGTGCTGATGGAGGGATTTGGGCAAATTTAGGTGGAAAAAGGTGGAAATGGTGAATGTATGGGAGCTGAAAAAAATCTCCCAAAATGTGAATGAGTAAAAGAGCTGAAAGCCAGTCCCGGTAATCAGGATGCAGTGTGAGTTGGATAGAGCTCAGTCCTGAGTGCAGGGTCTCCTGGTTCCCAGAATCTGCACTCACATCCACCCTTTACACTCCCTGAAAAGGAGAGAGACAGATGATGAGAGGGGAGGAGGCTGGATTCAGCCAGATCAGGCTGCCATTGGCCAAGGAAGAGGCAAATTACTCTACAAACAGGGCTTATTATTAGCTGCTAGGCAACAGCTCAGCAAAGTGAAGAAGGGAGAGAGACCACCCAGGCAGCCCTCTCTCAAATCAATGAGGGGACAGGGGAGGGGGGGCTTAAACAGAGGAGCCGCTCAACTTTTACAGGAATTCTGCTCTACAGACCTCCAAATGCTACAAATTTCTTACCACCCTGCTCTGTCCAAACAGCCCCCACCCCTGCACATACCCCCTCACCTCTTACTTAGCAGAGCAATGTGACAGGGGCTGCATAGACAGCTGCAATCCAGGCTTTTGTAAGGAAAAAGACAAAAACACACAACCCCACACACACACACACACACACAACCCACACACACACACACAACCCCCACACACACACAAAAATACCTATATGGACTGTTTATTGTATGTTTGGCAAATAGTTTGTATTTTATCCTGTGTTTGTTATGATGTGTGTTTTGTTAGTTTTGTTTTGTTTTTGCAAAAGAAAACAAAGATTGAATTTAAAGAGTTATTTTGACACCAACTAGGAAGTTTAATCAAGTCACCCAGGGCCATGTGAAAGCCCCTTCTCTCTCTCTCTCTCTCTCTGTCTGTGTGTGTGTGTCTGTGTGTGTGTGTGTCTGTGTGTGTGCTATAGATTGTGAAGAAATGTCTACTTGATACAATGTTTATGATCAAAAATGAAACGTTTGTTGTTTTTGAACATGGAAACTCCAGGACTTCTCTGAGCTAAACCTTTTCTTTTTTTCCCAGTTGATTTTTTTCAGACATCTGTTTATAGAACACGATTTGCAGAGTTGAGACTGATTATTTATGTTAGGGTTGTGTGTATTTCTGTAAAAAGCCTGGCCCCTCTCACCCTCCCCTGCTCCCCCACCCACTAAATGCTTCATTTCACACACATCACATCCCCTGCACAAACAATGTGTCACAAACTACAATTTGCAACTTTTACCATTTTTTCCCCAGCTTGCAGCAATTTAACCAAGAATGATTGATTTATTTAAACTTCTTGTATCACCCAGATGGCAGGATTCTGACAAGAAATTGACTCTTATCCTTTATGTCTGTTGTCTTTTATTTGAAATTATTATTTAACATCGTTGTCTCGGCAGCCTGGGCTGTAATTGGCAGATTATTAATATTATTTATTTTTAATCGACATATTTCGCGATGTTATCAAATGGGTTTAAATTACATTATTTCAATTATTTTAATACTGTTTTCATTTTTAGAATATTTGAAATGTGAGACAAGGCACTAATGAAAACATACACAGTTTATTTATGAAAGAGTTAATTATTGGAAATTAAATGTGAATTTCAACTTTTTGGACAATATTGAAAACATAGCAGACTTTTTCCAATTTTGAAAAAAATAATAATTCATTCTTCGGTATATAACTCTGACTAAATAAAAGATTTAAAAATTCTTCTGCGATATATTTAAGGTATACTCTGATATATAGACATTATAATTTATAAATACATACTCTACACACACATACAAGCACACAAACACACAAACATTCACACACGCACGACTGTCTGCGCTGTGTGATTATATACTAATGATACCACAATGAATGACAAACAATAATCATTTATAAAGCGGCAACATATTCCACAGCGCTGTACAATGTGTTGACGTGCCTTACAGGTAATCACCATGGCACCTTGGGCGTACAAATCAAGAGGTTACAAGGGCTGTTATGATAGACAGACAGACAGCGGATAGACAGACAGACAGACACACACACATAGACAGACAGATAGATAGACATACAGACAGACATTATGTGATCACGCACCTACATTTGTTTATCATATAACCAGCTCTTCTTTAATTAATCGTTACAAAATATCAACATGATTATAATCTGCCACTTATAACACTGGGGAATTCTATGATTTATGGAGGGGTTATTAAGTGCTCTATAAAACCAGGTATAATTACTGTCACTATACTGCAGGGTCTCTGAAGTCTATATTTATTGCAAGAAATTAAGATTATGTATTTTAGTTTTCTGCGTCAGGAAATTGCATTTTTCTGTTGCATAACAAAAATACATTAGAGATAAATTAGTCAAATCTGTGGGGGAAAGGCAAAAATGACTTTATACACCTATTCATAGAATTCTTGAATGAATGGATGGATGCTATAGTGTGAGCATAGTTTGTGACCAGCAGAGGGAGACATTTGTCATCTGTGACCATGTGCTGCTCATGTCAAGGTACATTACAGAGCTTGCTGTGAATATCCCACAGGGTCACACATTGAAACACAATACACAGTGTATCAATTTAATATAGAAAGGAAACCTGGGGAGACTAATCACCTGCCTGGCATCTACACACGTACACACTGACAATGTATAGATAAATTCAGTGCTGGTTAAATACTGCAGTACAGGAAACAATAAATAATATTTATCATTTGTAGGACACGTTGGGCAAAGTATCTCATCATGTCCACTACTCTTGTATTAGTACCGTGTCGTGTTAATTGGACAAGCCTACTACATTCCCAAGGTGAGATATAATATTCTGAGACAATCGCTTAAAACACGATAGGACATAGTCTTAAATTAGAGGGGCAAAGGTTTAAAAATAATATCAGGAAGTATTACTCTACTGAGAGGGTAGTGGATGCATGGAATAGCCTTCCAGCTGAAGTGGTAGAGGTTAACACAGTAAAGGAGTTTAAGCATGCATGAGATAGGCATAAGGCTATCCTAACTGTAAGATAAGGCCAGGGACTAAAGAAAGTATTTAGAAAATTGGGCAGACTAGATGGGCCGAATGGTTCTTATCTGCCGTCACATTCTAGGTTTCCAATTCTGCTTTTTAGTGTAGATAAGACAAGCTTGTTTGATACTTTCACAGATCATCTAACCATAAAACTAGTTTTTCATTAACACAGGTGAAGTTTGATCGGCAATGCAATACAAACGACCAGGTTTCCATGGCAATGCAGGAGGTTTGCAATGAAGCTGCTCAATGTGATACAATATCGCTTCAAACACTCTGGGTTGACATGGGCTGCCCTTAGCATTTGCACGCCTCACTTTCATGGTGATGTCAGATGATTTGATAATTTGTCAAATATGTAACTCATCCATTAGATTAATTTTAGCTAAGGATTGGTGGATGGGTTTCCTCAGTAGGTCTTTGCCCAAGTGAGATTTAACCCATTGCACAGCGCTACAGAATGTGATGGCACTATATAAATAATACAATAATAATAATAATCTGAGTTCTTGTCTATAACCAAAATCCTCTGTGTACAGCCCAACCTTAAACTAAGACAACAGGTTTAGGAGGTAGCTAACCCCCTCTTTAACCAGAGCGTATGTCAGTATAGCACTCTAATCCTGAGGGCAGTCTACAGTGGGGTGTTGTGAACCCTTCAAATAGCTCTAACTATGAATACCTGTCCCTTAACTCTGAACAGGGGGTACAGTAGTTTACGCCCTGATTCGACCCCTAACCCTGGCTGCACCTTTATAAATGTCTCTCTAATAAACAGTGATGAACTGTATGTCAGTGATCTAAAGATCTGATCTCAGCTTCCCCATATTGCTGTATTTTTAAAATCTGAAAAATAAGAATTTGCAGGATTTGAGCTCAATGTAACAAATTCTGTGCTGTTTTTACACATTCCAAGCAATTTAACACATACTGACTTTTATCAAAATTGTAACTGAAATGAACATATTCTTCAGTAAAAATGATCTTATTGTTTTGACCCGAGGGGATAGGATTTTACCAGTGATGGATGCATTCTGAAATCCTCTTCCTCGACATACGTTAATGTCTTTCTCAATGCCCGGATGTTGTTATAGTATGTGAGTTATATCGTTCCAAACGGTTTACACAATAAACCTAAATTGACTAAATTAGCGTTTATACAACTAGACTCTGAAATAATAACTTGCTTTTGATAAATTCCTGTAATTGTTTGGGTTAAATAAATTGTGACGGTGCGCAAGATTAACCAGTCTGCTCTACGAACGCTAAGCGCAGACGACAAGACGCCATTGAAAGCGAAGGAGTCTATTCTTTAAACTACAAATTGTAATGAAATGAATGATGAATGGCGAAATTCAATCTAACGTAGCCAAGCTGTAGGAGAGTTTGAGAATTTTTCCAGATTACATTTTTGTAATTTGATTTCAATTTGCTGTGATTCTGAGTTTAATGAACAAACCCAGAGTGAGATTCCGGGAGGAGCAGACTCACAAAGAGCTATTCACTAAATTGTGAAATGATTTTTAAAATAAGCCAAATTTAGTAATTTTTTGTCAGCTGTTCCCGGTTTGGCCTGTAATTTGAAATCCTCGTTGCATTCAGTTTGCTCTGCAGACAATTCACACCTTAGTAACTAATCCTGATCGGACTGAGCAAAACATACTCACTGACAGTATAATTGTAGCAGAGAATCTACATTTGGCAAAATACATCATAATATATATACAAATAAACACTAAAGAAAACCGTCCGCTGGCTGATAAACTCACTAACTGATACTCAATGTGATCCCCAGTAAAGCCATTCCATACAGTAACACCGATACACACACTGCAGCATTGATAGGTGTAGTCTAAACACAGACACATGATATATACACAGTGCTATTCACACCTGTACAGCAAAACCTACCAGCCACATGCCGCCTCTCTGTATCTGAATATGGCTGAAAACATAACCTCCACCTCCTGAAATAAGGAGCAATAGACATAGGAGATTAAACTGTGTGCAGACCTTTTCTTATGTAGTAATGTTTGCTAGATAGGTTTACAATAAATAGGCCTTCACTCTCACTGATCTAGGATTCCAGGATCCAGCCTATCTGCCTTCACTCTCGTTGATCTAGAATTCCAGGATCCAACATATCTGTCTTCACTCTCTCTGATCTAGAATTCCAGGATCCAGCCTTCACTCTCACTGATCTAGAATTCCAGGATCCAGCATAT